GCCAAAGGCATCGCTGCAGATGATGTCAGCCAGCTTGGCAAGGGAAGCACGGAACTCCTTCACCTTCTCTGGATCTGCCTTCACCTTGTTACCATCAGCATCCTTGCCCTTGCCCTCCTCCTCGACATAGAAGCGAGAGTTCTCCAGGAGGATCACGGTGCCTGGCTCGGGGTCAGCGCATGCTTCCTCAACCTCGGGGCCAACCACATCATGCATCAGCTTCACTGGCTTGCCCAGCTTCTCCTCAACCACCTTTGCAACTGGCTTCATGGAGAACTTCTCGTTCTTCTGACCATCTGGACGGCCGAGGTGAGAGCACAAAACCACAGACTTGGCACCCTTCTCAAGGGCATACTTGATGGTAGGCAGTGCAGCATCAATTCGTGCCGTGTTGGTGATGATGTTGGGGTCCTTCTTGTCCTGAGGCACGTTGAAATCCACACGGATGAAGATTCGCTGATCCTTCAGATCAATGTCTTCAATGCTCTTCTTGGCCAAAGCTTTGCAAGCAACCACGTTCTGGGCAGCCTTTGGCTGAACACCCTTGCGGCGAGAGGCTGCTGCTGCTCCTCGGATGGCAGCCACGCTGAGTCCTCCAACTGCCAAGGCACCGCTCAGGCCCTGCACTGCGGAGGAGCTGCTGGAAGGGGCTGATGAAGAGAGGAATTTCTGGCTTGCAGCAGTTGCCTTGTTCTCGACTTCAACTAGTCGACTTCCTGGGGCCACAAAGGACAAACCACCCAGGGTGGCTGCTCCCAGCACGGAGCCAACAGCAACCTTCGAGGCGCGTGCCATGACTTCGGGACAGCAGTTCAACTACAGCACGGTTCTCGCAAAAATGCTGCGGGACAAGTGCACCAAATGCTGATATTGATGCTCCGTTCACCTAGTGTTTCTCATGCCAACCACACCTCTCAATATTGATTCCATCCCCTGCATCTTGGAAAAATGACAAAGTTGCTTTTGCACATGTATCTTCCTGATCAAAATATCCCAGACATGTGTAGTATATTATTGTATCTCCAGCGTGTGTGTGCAATTGTGTGTGGGTGTGTGTGTGTGTGTGTGTGCGTTTCTGTCAAAATCAAGGCACATCCAGAAACATGTGCTGTCTCTCGCACATTCAATGCTTTTTCTGCAAGTGCTGTATGGGAAAAATTGATTGTGGCAAGAGTCATTCAAGAAAATACCGCATGAATGCTAGGCCAGTTGCCAATGTATTCAACGCGATCAAGAAACTGAACACTGTAACATTCTAGTCAATCTATCTACTTCCCTCACTTGTCATCCAATGCGGCCACACCAGGCAGCACCTTGCCTTCCAAGAGCTCCAGGGAAGCACCTCCACCAGTGCTGCAGTGAGAGACCTTGTCAACGGTCTTGTAGACCTTGCAGGCTGTGGCGGTGTCGCCTCCGCCAATCACAGACACTGCTCCCTCCTCAGTGACCTTCACAATGGTCTCCATCATCTGCTTGGTGCCCTTCTCGAAAGAGGCCATCTCGAAGACACCCATTGGGCCGTTCCACACAATTGTCTTGGCCTTCTTGATGGCCTCGTCGTTCATTGCAATGGACTTGGGACCAATGTCCAAGCCCAAAAAGCCGTCTGGGACACCTGTCTCCATGTCGCCGTCCTTGATTTCGCCATCCTCTCCAAACTTGGAAGAGCACACAAAGTCCACTGGCAGGATCAACTCAACACCCTTCTCCTCTGCCTTCTTCTTGATGTCTGGCACCAACTTGGCTCCCTCCTCATCATAGAGGGAGGCGCCAATGTTAACACCAGCCTCCTTGATGAAAGTGAAGGCCATGCCACCACCAATGATCATGATGTCCACCTTGTCCAGCAAGTTCATGATCAGCTGAATCTTGTCAGCCACCTTGGCTCCGCCAAGGATGCCGCACACAGGCCTGGTGGGAGAGTCCACAACCTTGGCAAAGTAGTCAAGCTCCTTGGCAAGGAGGAAACCAGAGCACTTGACTGGGAAGCCTTCTCCGACCATGGAGCTGTGTGCTCGGTGTGCAGTGCCAAAGGCATCGCTGCAGTAGATGTCAGCCAGCTTGGCAAGGGAAGCACGGAACTCCTTCACCTTCTCTGGATCTGCCTTCACCTTGTTACCATCAGCATCCTTGCCCTTGCCCTCCTCCTCGACATAGAAGCGAGAGTTCTCCAGGAGGATCACGGTGCCTGGCTCGGGGTCAGCGCATGCTTCCTCAACCTCGGGGCCAACCACATCATGCATCAGCTTCACTGGCTTGCCCAGCTTCTCCTCAACCACCTTTGCAACTGGCTTCATGGAGAACTTCTCGTTCTTCTGACCATCTGGACGGCCGAGGTGAGAGCACAAAACCACAGACTTGGCACCCTTCTCAAGGGCATACTTGATGGTAGGCAGTGCAGCATCAATTCGTGCCGTGTTGGTGATGATGTTGGGGTCCTTCTTGTCCTGAGGCACGTTGAAATCCACACGGATGAAGATTCGCTGATCCTTCAGATCAATGTCTTCAATGCTCTTCTTGGCCAAAGCTTTGCAAGCAACCACGTTCTGGGCAGCCTTTGGCTGAACACCCTTGCGGCGAGAGGCTGCTGCTGCTCCTCGGATGGCAGCCACGCTGAGTCCTCCAACTGCCAAGGCACCGCTCAGGCCCTGCACTGCGGAGGAGCTGCTGGAAGGGGCTGATGAAGAGAGGAATTTCTGGCTTGCAGCAGTTGCCTTGTTCTCGACTTCAACTAGTCGACTTCCTGGGGCCACAAAGGACAAACCACCCAGGGTGGCTGCTCCCAGCACGGAGCCAACAGCAACCTTCGAGGCGCGTGCCATGACTTCGGGACAGCAGTTCAACAACAGCACGGTTCTCGCAAAAATGCTGCGGGACAAGTGCACCAAATGCTGTCAGAGACCCTGAATCAATACTGGTATGTTTTGCAAGCACTGCCTTTCTCATTGTTGTGGGATCTCTATTTTTCTCATTTCTGTTGGTTTCATTGAGGGCCTGCATTGTATATGTCTACTAGCACAAGCACCCTTTCTTTCAAATAAAGGCTGCTCCTGGCATTTTTTTTTCTTTGTTCGGCTTAGGAATCTCGGAAAAATTCATGGTGGAGACTTTGCCAAGAAATACATGGCATGATTGCTAGGAATTGCTCTAAAGAAACTGCAAATGTATATACAATGATACAAAAATTCTAAAGTCAATCTATCTACTTCCCTCACTTGTCATCCAATGCGGCCACACCAGGCAGCACCTTGCCTTCCAAGAGCTCCAGGGAAGCACCTCCACCAGTGCTGCAGTGAGAGACCTTGTCAACGGTCTTGTAGACCTTGCAGGCTGTGGCGGTGTCGCCTCCGCCAATCACAGACACTGCTCCCTCCTCAGTGACCTTCACAATGGTCTCCATCATCTGCTTGGTGCCCTTCTCGAAAGAGGCCATCTCGAAGACACCCATTGGGCCGTTCCACACAATTGTCTTGGCCTTCTTGATGGCCTCGTCGTTCATTGCAATGGACTTGGGACCAATGTCCAAGCCCAAAAAGCCGTCTGGGACACCTGTCTCCATGTCGCCGTCCTTGATTTCGCCATCCTCTCCAAACTTGGAAGAGCACACAAAGTCCACTGGCAGGATCAACTCAACACCCTTCTCCTCTGCCTTCTTCTTGATGTCTGGCACCAACTTGGCTCCCTCCTCATCATAGAGGGAGGCGCCAATGTTGACACCAGCCTCCTTGATGAAAGTGAAGGCCATGCCACCACCAATGATCATAATGTCCACCTTGTCCAGCAAGTTCATGATCAGCTGAATCTTGTCAGCCACCTTGGCTCCGCCAAGGATGCCGCACACAGGCCTGGTGGGAGAGTCCACAACCTTGGCAAAGTAGTCAAGCTCCTTGGCAAGGAGGAAACCAGAGCACTTGACTGGGAAGCCTTCTCCGACCATGGAGCTGTGTGCTCGGTGTGCAGTGCCAAAGGCATCGCTGCAGTAGATGTCAGCCAGCTTGGCAAGGGAAGCACGGAACTCCTTCACCTTCTCTGGATCTGCCTTCACCTTGTTACCATCAGCATCCTTGCCCTTGCCCTCCTCCTCGACATAGAAGCGAGAGTTCTCCAGGAGGATCACGGTGCCTGGCTCGGGGTCAGCGCATGCTTCCTCAACCTCGGGGCCAACCACATCATGCATCAGCTTCACTGGCTTGCCCAGCTTCTCCTCAACCACCTTTGCAACTGGCTTCATGGAGAACTTCTCGTTCTTCTGACCATCTGGACGGCCGAGGTGAGAGCACAAAACCACAGACTTGGCACCCTTCTCAAGGGCATACTTGATGGTAGGCAGTGCAGCATCAATTCGTGCCGTGTTGGTGATGATGTTGGGGTCCTTCTTGTCCTGAGGCACGTTGAAATCCACACGGATGAAGATTCGCTGATCCTTCAGATCAATGTCTTCAATGCTCTTCTTGGCCAAAGCTTTGCAAGCAACCACGTTCTGGGCAGCCTTTGGCTGAACACCCTTGCGGCGAGAGGCTGCTGCTGCTCCTCGGATGGCAGCCACGCTGAGTCCTCCAACTGCCAAGGCACCGCTCAGGCCCTGCACTGCGGAGGAGCTGCTGGAAGGGGCTGATGAAGAGAGGAATTTCTGGCTTGCAGCAGTTGCCTTGTTCTCGACTTCAACTAGTCGACTTCCTGGGGCCACAAAGGACAAACCACCCAGGGTGGCTGCTCCCAGCACGGAGCCAACAGCAACCTTCGAGGCGCGTGCCATGACTTCGGGACAGCAGTTCAACTACAGCACGGTTCTCGCAAAAATGCTGGCAGAAAACATCAAGCACCATCTAGCCATGAAGGCTCTGATATTTTCACGGGTCATGACTGCACATGATTCAAGCCTCCATCCAAAACAGTGCCATTGGTGCGTATTGTCTTCACCAATATTCAATATTGACAAGGAAACTTACTCTAAGCTTGCACCATGCTCCGAATCTTTGCCGTATGCAGCCTGTACGAAGTTTTTGATGCTAGCAACAAAATGCTCGCAAGGCAGGGTCTAACCAGCGGTTTCTTGAGCAAGCTGTTGGCTCAACACTGGTTGCAGAGTGCTAAAGTCATCATTAATCTATTCCTAGGGTCAAAAATTTCAGGAAATCGTGCCATCAAATCAAACCTTTTAATGGCGTTTGTGACAAGGCTACTACAGTTTTCTTAGTGCTTCAAATGGCATTTCCACTTCCAGTTGTCCAGCTCAGGGTCAGCCAGCTGCACCATCTTCGTCAGGTTTTGCCTGGCTCAACTTCCGGCTCAAAATCAAAGTCCTCCAAATTGGGATAAGTTGGGTACCTTTCCAATGGTATAGTCCTGGCTATCCGAGTCTGTCCTGAGCATTTCTGGGATCTTGCTAGGAACTCTAAGTTCTGCTCCTTTCCACCTGTGGTGAATCCCCACCTGTGTGGCTGCACTCGCTGCACCCTCTGCTTGGTATGCATTGGACTTGTGCTTTGGAACCTCGGTCCATGGCCCAAAATCCAGACTGTCCAGCCCCATTTTTTTCATTCCTGAGGCGTTCACGAAGGAAAAGCCATCTGGAACCTGGAGTGGGGTCCCAAGTCAATGCTGCAACTGCCCACATCTCACTTTCTGAAATTGCAGAGGAAGTTCTCTTCAGAGTGTCTACAAAGTTCTAGAAAATTCCCCAAGAAAAGCGGGACCAAGAAATTCGAAAAAGTCTCTGTTTCCGCACCTTGCCCAACATCATCTCTGTGATCTCGACCCAGTCCTGCCGCAGTGAGTGCAACACACCAAGCCCAATTTCTGGAAAATTCCGGCCCTTCCAAGTGGAAAAGTGCTGATGACATGCTGTGGCCAGTTCTCAACATTGCATCTGGGACTTCCTTCAGTGGCTCAACAGATAGATAACTGTTGCCATCACGCTATGAAAAGACTGACTGCCGTCCTAAGGTTGACGAAAACCAGAGGGTACCAACCACAAAAGCATTCTTTGGGTCTTGAGTGATAGCTATCATCGACACCTTCCCCCTAGTCATCCTTGGAATTGGTCGAGGCAAGTTTGGTTTCCAAGTCACTTCGACCAACATAAGGTCGCGGACGCCAGTTGATTTTGGCCTCCTGTACCTGCCGCTTTCAGTTCCAGGTGGTGCAGAAATGCGATTCCCAGGTCCCCCTAACTCCAAAGAGTTTTAGCAATCACAGTTTGAATGGCTGTTTGAATGTAAACATACCCTAGAGTTTCACAGCTTTCACAGCTTTCACAGCTTTCACAGCTTCACAATCTGTTTCAACGGGAGGAAAACTGCAACAGCATCCCAGTTGATCCATCCTCGAGGAGTCCCACTGGAACATAACCTCGGCAGGGAACAAAAACCACCATCACCTGATTCGGTTGACACACTCATATCTCATCATTTTAAGGAAGTTCAAGGCCTAATTGTTTGGGAAGTCTGACCACGCAAAACAGGTCGGTAATGGTCTGTAGCAGATGTATCAGTCCATAATCTGTTTGACCAGTGGATAATCAAGATCCCCCATTTAGCTTTGTCCCAAAAATTACATATAAATCCACCATAGGTCAATCCTCATTTTCCCTACGATTCCCCACGGTTAAACAGCCACTTTGATGTAAAGGCATCGCTGGGTCGCCCGGACGACAGTGGAAGGAGAGCCATTCCAACAGAAAGCGCCGAGTCGTCTCAACTCCTCGAGGATCCGCTCCCCAATGCCTTGGCTATCCCAAATCTTGCTCAACTCAAGACTCTGAATGATTGCAGAACCACTTTCTGAAAACGAACTTCTAATTGATTCCTGAAGCCTCATTGGCATTGGGGTTCGACTGAAAATAGGGCCCAAGTTTCATAAGTTTACCTCTGGTTCCCCATTGTTTCATGGATTCATGGTCATAAAATTGGGGCTTTATCGGCTTAATCGGCTTAATCCCATCCGACCCCAGTCATCCCCCTACTGTAGTCATCCACCTGAGCAGCCGGGCTCAAGGCCATAGCGGGTGAAGTCTCGAATGAGATCCAATCGCTCACTGGCGGAAATGTCCCAGTGCCTCTTTTCTTTGATCTCCTAGGGCCGGAGATCGCGAGAGCACCCTGAAGCAGCTGGAGAATCCACCATTTTAAATCTCTATTCTGGACTCGAAACAGGTGGATTCCACTTCGATGGCCCGAGGGTCAGTGATGCGAACTTGTTATAGTACAGTCCTATAGTGGCTTGCTATTAAAGCCAGCTGGAATCGAACTGTCCAAAGGCAAAGCCACGCCAAATAGCCACAGCAAGAAAGATCTGATTGCTGTAAAATGTGAAGTCTCCCTGAGACTGCAACTGGTGAGGCAACACATGAGGCAATACATTTCGGTACACTAGACGCTGCATGCCAACTCCCGAACTCGTTCAACCAAAATCTCTCAAGATCAGCCCTTTGAACTTTTGAACCTCCCTGCACTCGTTGGATCAAAGCTTCTGTAAAGAGCCAAGGTTTGATGAGGGCACCCCGTCCCACCATGACAGAGTCCACACCATGAGTCGCACCTTGGTGAGGTGGGTACCACGGTCTCACCACTTAACTTACGTCTTAGTTAAGTTTGGGATGTTGCGACAAATGTCCAAAAATTCCTGGAGATGTTGCAACAGATCTTCCATGAGTACGGCTATCAGGGGGAATGATCTTTCTATCCTCTATGCCAGTTTCAGATCTTTCCACCCAACCACCAGGTTTCACCAGGCAACAATGCTGTTCGACTTCTTCCCAGTTCATGGCATCGCCACATCCTGCCACTTCGACAAATGGTGGTCTGCAAAAACAAGGGGTCCCCATGGAAAATCGGAGGAAAATCTGATCAACTTAAAGACCACCAGAATGTGGTGAGCCGAGCCACCTCTGATTTCTTGGATTTCTTGGATTTCTTGGATTTCTCATTCCAAAATGTATGTTAGATTTCAGACCATGACTATCTAGGCAGCATTTTCCAAAATTGAGACCCTCAGATCCAAAATGAACGCTCTAATGATCCCCAAAGGTCAGCACAAAAAAATAAAGTTTCTGCTTGAAACTGATATTGGCCATCACCAGCCTGATCAACACTAACCACACAACATTAACATTGAAGAGTCTCAGCCCTAATCACAGAATGCTACAGCAAAGGTATGCAGATTGAACACCCAACAACGAGGTCAATTTCCAGCTACGCAAAAACCTAGTTCCGAGACGTTTTTGGAAGATCTACCTACCCAAACAAGTAGACTTGCCCTCCACGGGTTGGAAATGAGCAAATACTGAAGCCTATGAAAGGAGTTGGGCACTTTCTTCGGCCACTGCACCTCAGCTTCAGAGAAGTTTAGCTTCGGCCATAGTTTTTGTGGAAGTCATAGGAAAGAAACATCTTAAATATTAGCGGTGTTTTTTGGGGTGCGATGTTCATCATTCATAGCAAGAAATCCCCAATAAGTTGGAGAATCATGTCCAATGAAAAGCCGTCATGTGGGGTGAAGTCGATCATTTTGACCCATACCGTCCAGTACGGTCCATACCCACACTTTAGAGCCAGAAATCACCAGAAATGTTCCATCGAAAGCTGCCTGCGACATGGTCACATGTCCCGTTCTCTTACACCAATCGAGCCCAAAAAGATCCAAAAAGTATGAAAGTCACGAATGATGGATCAGCATCCTGATACAAAAATTGAAGCCATCCAGATAAATCCAGATATATAAATCCAGAAAATCCCTGGCCAAGGTGCTCCTTGATGTAATCCCAATCCGCCAGTTTGGTATAGCGCTGTCGTGCAGTTCGACCGTGCAAGACCAAGGCGCTGACACCCCAGCCCTGGCACGAGCCCCGTTATTTGGTGGATGATCTTTGATGGTAACCACCATTTAAAATTTATGGGGATATTTACCATTGAATTGGAAATATCATAAATTGAATAAATTTTGGATTTGGGAGACCCCATTGTCAGACAAACCCATGTCTAGACAGCATGCCGAACTGTGTCTCTGGCTTGAATTCCATGATGCCATGCCCTTCTTCCTGCGTTTTTTTTTCAAAGACACACATCTAATCTAGTGGATAGTCTCATGGTTGGCTGGCTCAGTGCTAGCACCGAAAGAAATAGAAATCATTGAGGCTCTACTCAGATTGCGGCGCCTGGGACCAGCTCAAAATCATGGGTAAATTTGGACTTTTTCCCAAAAGTGAGCTGCAAAAATGGCACCCCCCGCACTCCTCCAGCTTGGGCACCAAGTTGTGAGCATAGCGGCCATTGAAATCCTTCAGCCTGTTATCCTGCACCCACAATGGAGCAAGCTTGGCCTGCAACATCTACATTGCCGCTAAAACTGCAAAGCTCCAAATGTACTGTCACTGGGCTACGATGTTTCCCTCTTGCCTCCATGTGAGCTGTGCGCATTTTCAATGTCAGGGCTTTTGTCTTCAAAACACCTGACCTCAGATACAATCCTCACGGTCCACCTACTCTCTGTGCAAGAGGTAGAGGTAGTCAAACTAGTACCGCATATCTTTCCAGGCTGAACCATTTTTCCAGCTGAACCCACTTTCCAGCTTTTCTTCCAGACAACACTGATAGGTGGCAATGTCAAGGAAATCCCGAAAACACTGACACACCTGACAGCACCACAATCTGCACCCTGCTTGAATTGGGATTGCTATCTATCTATCTATCTATCTAATCTAATCTAATCTACTGCAATCTAATCTAATCTAATCTAGTCTAATCTAATCTAATCTAATATAATAAATCTAATATAATACATCTAATCTATCTATCTCTCTATCTCTCTATCTCTCTATCTCTCTATCTCTCCATCTCTCTGTCTCGATCTGAATGTGTATGTGCAGTCACATCCATGCAGCTGAGCAGCATGCATCTCACTATGCCTTCCAAATGGCCAGCCTTCGCCATGAGCCTCGAGCCAGCACCTCGCCGATGCACCTGCTGCGTAACGATGAGTGAACGATCTTCTACAATGCCACAAGAATGTAAGTTGTTCATCCATGAATCTATGAGAGGTATCTGCCCCAAATGCGATATGTCTGATGAGTATTCATATTTCAACACAAGCTCACACACTCTAATTCGTTGCAGCTCTGGAGAACACATGGAGGAATGCTAAGTGGTGAATGCGCCGCCTCATCGAGCGGACATCCGCAATTGATGTCCACGAAATCACAGTCAACATTCTCATCAATAAATTGTGCCGCCTGAGATTGGATTTGAGGCACCTCCCTGTTCCAAAAAAACTGGTCCATGTACAAAAATAGGCAGCTGCTCATGATTGGGCGGTTCTCAAACTGTTGGACACAGCAAGGTTTGCAAGGTTTCTAAATGCCATGCCGCTTCATTGGATAAGAGATCGGAGAAAAAGGCGGGTCCCTTGCAAGTCCAGGAACTGTCCCAGCTAAAGCCCAAGCCAAGATCAAGTCATCCATAAGTGAATTTTGAGATGCACAGGGTGCCCATGTCAGCCAAAGCGCTTTGGACATCATGGCCACATCGCCACCTGCGATTTGGACCCCAAAGATCTTTTCGGACTCGTGCCGTCGCAGGAGCGCCAGTTCACTCTGATAACCTCGGATGGGCCAAGTGGCCAAAGTGAGACACATCGAAAGTTGCTGAGTCCCTGGCCATCAACAATTGACATGGATAAGGCCATTTCACCAACAGTCACCTGCAGGCACGATTCGAACGAAATCTTCCCACCCAGCTGTGACTCAGCCGGACTTAAAAAATATGCTCCTAGAAATGAAACCTCGGTGTTTTATCGTTTGTCCAAAACAGGTGATTTTACACCGACACGAAGCTATCTGTTTTTGAATCTACCATCAAATCAAAATCCATTGGATCATGGCCAAGGGGGTTCTCATCATCATAGATTTGATTTGTACATTATGTGTGTTTTTCGACATATATATATATATGTATATATATATATATGTATATATATATATATGTATATATATATATGTATATATATATATGTATATGGCTCAGCGTCGGCCAGCCCCCCCACCAATGGGGATGGCTTATGGTTCCCCCCCACTGTGGCCTGTGGTGGTGTGGTGTTTGGGATGTTAGTGATGGATGTCCAGTCTTGCTTCTTATGGTTCCCCCCTCCCCCCCTGTGGCCTGTGGTGGTGGGGTGTTTGGTATGTCTGTCTGTCTGTCTGTCTGTCTGTCTGTCAGTATGTATGTATGTATGTATGTATGTATGTATGTATGTATGTATGTATCTATGTATGTATGTATGTATGTACGTCTGTATGTCTGTCTGTCTGTCTGTCTGTCTGTATGTATGTATGCATGTATATAGGTAGGTAGGTAGGTAGGTAGGTACACATTTCTTTGGTTGCAACCCCAGTGTGGCTGAATATTTTTCCATGGGACACACCCCCTGAACTTTGAAAATACCAAAGTTGGGCCCGAATGAATTTCCTAGAGGGAAAATATCTTCGGGCACATGGTCAGGAAAAAAATCTTGCCAGCACGAACCCGGTTCCTTTTACGTACGATGCCTACCTCAGTCTCGGGGTCTTCCTACCTCGTTTTACAATTTAACTATATCCGTCCACCCACCCATCCATCCGTCCGCGCGGGTTTGCGGCGGCACAGTCATCTGCACCGTGTCCTCCTCCTGCCGGATTGGTTGGTAATGTCAGCATATGTCAGCATTGAACTGTCACTGCAGAGATCAGGGCTCCTGTGGCGGAGGAGGAGCCACAGGCGCAGATGACGAGGATGCCGACGAAGGAGGTGGTGGCAGTTTCTCCTCCAACAGATTTAAGAGCGAGGAAGTGACATGACCCGACAAAGGCTAGGAGTATACTAGGAGTAGGAGTTGAAGTGCGCCTGCCTTCCCGCTAACCACGCGTTCCGCGAAGAGACACTGGCTAAAGAAGCTCTTGTCCTGCGCTATATGCAATGGCAAAGTGGGCGGGTGATCGGTTCTAAAAAGGTTTCTACCATTTTCCACACAATTTTGATTACACGCGTCCTTCACGCATGGGTGGTTAAGAGCTGCTTTGCGGAGCTCTCAATCCGCTTGTTGCTTGGCCTTCGCCTCCAAATCCATTCAGATCCATGGGAATTTCAGGATCCTAAAATGGAGGTACTGTGTCATATAAGGCCACATTTTGTGGGTTCCTTCTGCCTGCCTTGGCCTTTTTCTCGGCTACTCTGACATTGCCCGACCTCCAACCAGGACAACGCGTTATATAGTGTCTGTGGCCACTGTTGGAAGTTGCGATGTCGAAAAAGTGCACGCCGTTGTGGCGCGAAGCACATTTCCAAGTCAAAATGTACAAAGCACACCATGGTCGGACCTCTTTTAGAAGTTGAGATGTCGAAAAAGTGCACGCCGTTGTGGCGCGAAGATACGCGAAGCACATTTCGCAGTCAAAATGTTAAAAACACCAGGGGTTCGGACCACTTTTTGACGTTCAGATGTCGTTTTGCGTGGCAGGCGCAAGGGATTGCGCACCTTCTCAAAAGTGAGCAAAACGTGATGGTTTTGTGATGGCAGGCGTGGGACTTTTGAAGCAAGCCTTTGGATACCCGCAGCTTCCGGACCCCCTAAGCCTTAGCGCCCGGCCGCAAACTCGCGAACTGACCTGCCAACCACCGTCAGAATCTAAGATTTGAGCGTTATCTTCTCTCTTGGGCTTTCCTCTTCTCTCTGACTCTTCCCATCTCTGCTTGTCATCTGTCCATATTGTCGGAAGTTTGACTTCAAAACTTCTGTCGACTACAGCACATACATTACCTACATCATCAACATCATCATCATCATCAACATCACTACATCCTCTACATCACCCACATCACCTACATATTCTGCACCATCTTCACTACATCATCATTATCATCATCATCGCCACCACGGTCGTCATCATCATCATCATCATCAATCTCACCTGCACCATCTACATTGCCGACACAATCTTTTTCCATCTGTGTGCACCTGCGTCTTGCCTGCTCTGTTACCGGCTCGCGCCATCCCTTCTCCTACTCTGCTACCCGCACGGCTATCCCTCCACCAAGTCTTGCACCAGGTCACTTCAGTGGATTCCTTGTTTCAATTGCAACGGGCCGCCTGCCACGCAAAAGCGGCGGAGACCAAGGGACACCAGAGGGACGCCAGAGGGACGCCAGGGCGTACATCCGACCCCTTAGCAATGGACATTGTCCCACGCCTGCCACGCAAAAGCGGCAGAGACCAAGGGACACCAGAGGGACGCCAGAGGGACGCCAGGGCGTACATCCGACCCCTTGGCAATGGACATTGCCCCACGCCTGCCACGCAAAAGCGGCGGAGACCAAGGGACACCAGAGGGACGCCAGAGGGACGCCAGGGCGTGACCCCTTGGCAATGGACATTGCCCCACGCCTGCCACGCAAAAGCGGCGGAGACCAAGGGACAGCAGAGGGACGCCAGAGGGACGCCAGGGCGTACATCCGACCCCTTAGCAATGGACATTGTCCCACGCCTGCCACGCAAAAGCGGCGGAGACCAAGGGACACCAGAGGGACGCCAGAGGGACGCCAGGGCGTACATCCGACCCCTTGGCAATGGACATTGCCCCACGCCTGCCACGCAAAAGCGGCGGAGACCAAGCGACACCAGAGGGACGCCAGAGGGACGCCAGGGCGCAAGCCTGGGGCAGAAGTGTCCGATGTGTTTCAACCTCTATGTTTGAGACAGAATCTACCCAAAGGATGCCACGCAACCCCCAGGCACGAATGGAAAAACACAACTGTTCGACGCCTTATTCATCTGACGCCTCTTCCTCTTCTGAGATCTGTTCGATTATTATCGTCAGTCCCCATGCCCTTCATTGTCTGTTCGGAAACAAGTGCCGCACTAGGTCATGCCAGACTTTGGTACCGCTGCGAAGGAAATACAAGATCCAGACAGAAACGTGAGGAGCGAAGCAGACGTCAAGTGGTACGAACCCGCTACCTACGCGAACACAACAACGCAGTGTTAATGCAGAAAACAGCGCCAATGAAAGCGTGTAGCAAGGGCTGCCAAGTAATGCACATCAACTGACATCCCGGCATCTTTCTGATCCGAAAAAAACATCAAACAGATTGTCTTCTTCTGATGGAAAACAGCCAAGAAATTCGGACTTTGCAACTTTTTAGCAGCGTCGTAGCATCCATGAAGCAAGCTGCATCCCTGCCAAATCAACATCAGCAGACGGCCGGGAGATGTACCAAGGAAGCAAATGTTAAAAACCATCCGGAAATATCCTATTTAAACTTAACACAAAATATATAGTGCTTGCGCACCAAATCAAACTATACCGGATTATGGCAATTAGCTCCTGAGTCTGCTGTCTAATTGCTCGGCCTCCTGATGGCTCGCTGTCTCTGAATCTTCCAAGATCCGCAAGCGTTCGATCAGCTCCTTTGGTGGGGCAACAGGTGGGTCCCGTCAACGAAACATGATACCAGTAGTACCGCACAAGGCGGCGGCGGAAGTTTCAAAAATAGGAAACCTATAGGAGAGATTGGTTGTTGTGAGTCAGAGATGGCAGAGCGAAGCCACTGCTGGACTGAAAGGCGATTGATCTCTCTCACCCTTGTCTACCTGTCTATCTATCTATGTCTATCTGTCTGCTCTTCAACATGATGTGTCAACAACTTGGTTTGGGACAGCCGGACGGGAGGTCATCTTCGTGTCCAAACCTCATATGAAGGATCAAAGGAGATGCAGTGCACCTCTAAAAACTATTCAGTTTCTCCGAGCGGAATTTGTTGGAGACTTGCAAAGAGATAAACAGGACCTTGGCCACTGGAACTTTATCCAAGGAGATGTTTGCCCCCATGGTCCCAAAATTGATTCTGGATATGTTTCATGTGTACCGTGTACGCCTGGAGGTTGTGCTCTTTTTTGGGAACGAACGTTTATTCCGAAAAAAGCTTGGCCCCAAGAAATTAATCCGGGATAAATTTGAGTTCCTTCGGCGGCTCCTGATGCAGGAGCTGAAGCAGCTTGTTGCGGGTCGGGTGGAGCCTCACCAGAAGAAGAGCCCGTGGTGGGGGCATCAAAACTTCATGGTGAGGCTCCACCCGAAGGGGTCTTGGATGCTTGCGAAGTTTTTTTTAAAGAAAGAGAGCTGTGCGCTTCCGAAAGGAAGCAAGCACTGGGGTCCAGTCACTTGGATGGACCCTAAGGTGGGCAAGCCCGGCATTGGTTTCTATAAAATAGAAACCATTGCATGCCCGGCTTGCTGAACGGAGTGCGAAAATCCGAGGCACTAACTACGATATCTATGAATCCACTTCTGTCATATTATTTTGACATACAAGAGCTGACGTCACCTTTGCGTGACAGGCGCAGTACTTTAGACAAGTGGAATGGAAAAAACGCAAAAGTCAAAATGTACAAAACACCTGAGCTTCGGAGCGCTTTTTGAAGTTGCGATGTCGAAAAAAATGCACGCCGTTGCGGCCCGAACCCAAAATCCGAAAATAAGAGGCCCCAAAAAAAAGGCCAAAAAACGGCCAAAATTGCTTATAAATCGGGGGGCCCCATACTTAAAGGATTAGGGCGCACACGCCCTATAGAGAGAAACAGTCTTCAAGTTCTGTCATTCGTAAAGTTTGACCAGGACGACAACCTGTGTTGTCGAACCCTAAACCCTAAACCCTAAATTCTTGGGTCAAATTCTGACCAGAAACCTTTTTGGAGCTCTCCGGGCCACTATTAAAAGTAAAAAAATTCTTCCAGAAATGCATGGAAACGGCAATTTTGGGCCAAATCCTGTCCAGGAACCCTTTTGAAGCTCGGTTTTAGCATTTTGACAGCCCTCCAGGTCCCTATTAAAAGTTCCTTTGGAAGTCACTGGAAACGGCCATTTTGGGTCAAATCCTGGGCAGGACCTTTTTTGGAGCTCGATTTTGGCATTTTGACAGCTTTCCACATGGCAATTTTAGTCTATGTTGGGGGTCTGGACTGAGTATTTCTTAGAGGTTCATTGCATCTCCTTTGATCCTTCATGTTGGGCCCCGGCTGTGGCCATATGAGGTTTGGACACGAAGATGACCTCCCGTCCGGCTGTCCCAAACCAAGTTGTTGACACATCATTTTGAAAGGCTTTCTTGGACCCTCCTCCCAAATTACTGTTTAAAGGCAAGTTTAGTCTATGTTGGGGGTCTGGACTGAGTATTTCTTAGAGGGGACCAAATTCTGGCCGGGAGCCCTTTCGACGCTCGATTTTGGCATTTTGACATCCCTCCGGGCCCCCATTAAAATTTCCTTTTGGGATCAATGGGAAACGGCCATTTTGGGCCAATTCCTGGCCAGGAGCCCTTTTGGAGCTCGATTTTGGCACTTTGGCAGCCGTCCGGGCCCCCATTAAAATTTCCTTTTGGGATCAATGGGAAACGGCCATTTTGGGCCAAATCCTGGCCAGGAACCCTTTTGGAGCTTGATGTTGCAATTTTGACAGCCATCCACATCACTATTTAAAGAGGGGCCCCATTCTGGAAAGGGGCCAAGAGCCCTTTTGGAGCTCGATTTTGGCATTTTGACAGCCCTCCGGGCCCCCATTAAAATTTCCTTTTGGGATCAATGGGAAACGGCCATTTTGGACCAAATCCTGGCCAGGACCTCTTTTGGAGCTGGATGTTAGCATTTTGACACCTTTCCACGTCGCTATTTAGAAAGGGGCCCCAAGTCTGGAAAGGCAAGACTCTTCAAGAATGTATGTAAAAAAAGGGAGGCCCCATGAATCGAGGTTTAGGGCACGGGCGCCCTACTGAACCAAAACAAACATCCTCAAAACAAAGGACCAAAAAGGGGTGCCCCAACATAAAAAGACATAAATCACAAAAACTGCTTTTAGGAAAGGGGGGCCCCATAGTTTAAGGTTTAGGGCGCGCACGCCCTACAGAATACAGAACCAACACACTCCAAAACAAAGGAACAAAAGGAGGCCCCGATATAGAAATAGAAAGGCGAAATTCTTCAAACATACCTTTTAAGAAAGGGGCCCCAAGATAGAAAGGCCAAATTCTTCAAACACACCTTTTAGGAAAGGGGCCCCCGAAGTTTAAGGCTTAGGGCGCGCACGCCCTACCCACTGAACCAAAACTGAACCAAAACTGAACCAAAACCCACTGAACCAAAACAAAGGGGTACAACGAAAGGGGGCCCCAAACCAAAGCACATTCTCAAAACAAAGAGGTAAAAAAGGGGGGCCCAACAGGGGGCCCGAACCCAAAATCCGAAAATAAGGGGCCCCAAAAAAAATGCCAAAAAACGGCCAAAATTGCTTATAAATCGGGGGGCCCCATACTTAAAGGTAGGTAGGTAGGTAGGTATCTAGGTATCTAGGTATCTAGGTATCTAGGTATCTAGGTATCTAGGTATCTAGGTATCTAGGTATCTAGGTATCTAGGTATCTAGGTATCTAGGTATCTAGGTATCTAGGTATCTAGGTATCTAGGTATCTAGGTATCTAGGTATCTAGGTATCTATGTATCTATGTATCTATGTATCTATGTATCTATGTATCTATGTATCTGTGTATCTATGTATCTATGTATCTATGTATCTATGTATCTATGTATCTATGTATCTATGTATCTATGTATCTATGTGTGTATGTCTGTCTGTCTGTCTGTATGTATGTAGGTAGTTATGTACGTACGCACGTACGTATGTATGTATGTAGGTACGTATGTATGTATGTATGCATGTGTGTATGTCTGTGTGTCTGTATGTCTGTATGTCTGTATGTCTATATGTCTGTATGTCTGTCTGTCTGTCTATTTGTCAGTCAGTCAGTCAGTCCGTCAGTCAGTCTGTCTGTCTCTATGTATGTATGTATGTATGTATGTCTGTCTGTCTGTATGTATGTCTGTCTGTCTGTCCGTCTGTCCGTCTGTCCGTCCGTCCGTCCGTCCGTCTGTCCGTCTGTCCGTCTGTCCGTCTGTCCGTCTGTCCGTCTGTCAGTGTGTCAGTGTGTCAGTGTGTCAGTGTGTCAGTGTGTCAGTGTGTCAGTGTGTCAGTGTGTCTGTGTGTCTGTGTGTCAGTGTGTCAGTGTGTCAGTGTGTCTGTGTGTCTGTGTGTCTGTGTGTCTGTGTGTCTGTGTGTCTGTGTGTCTGTGTGTCTGTGTATGTGTGTATGTGTGTATGTGTGTATGTATGTATGTATGTATGTACGTACGTACGTACGTATGTATGTATGTATGTAATGTAATGTAATGTAATGTAATCTAATGTAATGTAATCTAATGTAATCTAATGTAATCTAATGTAATCTAATGTATGTATATATATGATATATGTATATATGTATGTATGTATGTATGTATGTATGTATGTAGGTAGGTAGGTAGGTAGGTAGGTAGGTATGTAGGTATGTATGTATGTATGTGTGTAGGTAGGTAGGTATGTGTCTGTCTGTCTGTCTGTATGTATGTATGTATGTATGCAGGTAGGTAGGTAGGTATGTATGTATGTATGGCCGGTAGTCAGAAATGCTGCAAAGACCTAGCAAATACGAGGCTTGACTTCAGAAATAGCTTGCAAATAGAAGGGAAGGGGATGCTACCTGGGGACCCATCCCATTGGGGGGTTGGAACATTGGACACGGGACCATATATATATACATATATATATATTATACACTGTTTTTTTTGTTGTGTGTGTAGTTCCAAGCAGGTCTGGTAGTATGAAGTCAGATAACTACACCAAAGATCAATATATTCGAATCAGTGCTGATCAGACCCCCATCACCCTTGGTGCACGACAACCAAGTCCCAGGTCCGTCCATTGCGCCAAGACACTTCGCAGCCCAAATCCACACAGAGCCGTCGGAAAGGCAGGTTGCCCACCGTGGTCAACGGAGCCAAGATCCTGGCGGACGTTGGGGAAACATTGGGGATGCCTCCAAGAGAAAATATCATTTCAATGGGGAAATGATCAGGTTTTACACAGTTTGGGATTTTTGAGGTGTCCCATCTTTTGGAGCAACAAAAATGGGACATCGCCAGCAAAATTTTCTGATATCTAGCCCACCAACACCAACTAGGATAATTATGAACTTGAAATAAAACTGCAACCAACATAAATATAACATATCTGCAACATTACATGGTTTGCATCCCCACAAGAGACACCAGTATGAGCTTTGCCAAATGATGGTAACAAAAACATCCCACAGACTGGTTGATTTTCTGGCTCTGAATCTTCTCCAATGGCAGGACCCTACCTCTTGTTGGTGAGATCAATGCGACGTCGCTCTTTCTCGACCAGTGGGCCAAGGAATCTGGCGGCATCCGTAGGCCTAAGAGCTTAAAGGTAGGCTCTAGGCTTGTCTCAAATTCGGGCCCAAAAAACAAGGCATTCCTGCTTTCTTGCTTCCTTATTTTCTTGGCAACTGAGCAGCTCAGGAGAATCTTGCAGAGTTTTTCAAGTGTGTAACATAGATCCCTGAAATCAGTAGGAAACCAATGATATCTCCAGCTGATCTCTAAGCATGCTAAATGAGCCGAATGAGTGAGTTGGACCTGAGGCACCAGCGCAGAGTAGCGCTCGTCATCCGGCTCCGCATCTTTGGGCCGCTGAGAATACCAACAATTCCAAGCCTGTTATGGCCGCTGAGGGATCTCCACCCCAGACCTTAGGTCACCCCTGATACCAACAATACAGAGGATTGAACCAATCAAAAGCCATAATGGCTATGTCACCTACAAAAACATAGGTATTGTTTGGTATTGGTAAAATTCTTCGGCCCCAAAAAATGGATAGTTTGATTCCAAACTTGAGAATTCTTTGGCTCTTCATTTGTACCCCAATTTTCAACCATACCTTTGTGGGATCAGACCAGATTTCTTCAATTTCCTGCATATAAATTCTGATATCTTCCAATAAAATTTGCGTAAATCTCATTGAATCCCACTCGCGAATTTTGCTGGGTTAATCCCTATTGAATGTTTTGTTCTACCTATGTTTCCTCGCTTGTCACCTTGGCCAGCTCCTCAGCACGCGAGAAATCGTAGCTCTTCTTCCGCAGGGAGATACGTAGCTCCTGGGAAAATCTCTGAGCTCGGGATCTCCAGAATTGACATGAAAAATGGAGGGGGTTTTGGGAAAAATATGGGATCATCGGATCATCTATAAATGGCGGTCAAAACCCTATCCCCCTGTAGTTCACATCAAAATAGCTGGGTTAAAATGGATGTGAATAACCCCCTAAAAATGGTATTAATAGGTATTGATCCATACCCAAATGGATGCATTTGATGATGGAATAGCCTCTGGTATTCCATCAAAACGCTGTGCGAACTGGAAAATCACCATGTTTCATCGGGAATTCATCATGTTCATCATCCATAAATGGGTCATTTTCCATAGCTATGTTAAATAGCCAGAGGCTAATATAGCGTGGGAAACCCAATACTGTAAACCTACCATTTGCAGACAGTGTACACAAACCGTTTATGGTGATTTTTGGGATGGCTTATTATTGGATTTACCACATTAGAGCTTTGAATAATTGATTTTCACAGTTCGTGATAAATATATATATACTTGGATTATCGATATCCATGATTTGGAGTTACGCATATCCATAATCTGGATTAGATTAGATAGGTAGATAGACTGCTAGATCAAGATTATATATGCCAATTATATCCTAATCATATCTTAATCTCTGGGTTGGATCCCAATTTCAATTGAATTAAATATGTTGATTGGGTGATTCTGTCTCAACCCAATGGATATTTATCAACCCGATTGGTTTGTTCATGGTTTTTTTAATTGGATGGATTTATAAATATCCAAAACTGGCTGATGTAATTGGATATAATCGATTTTGATATTTTGCAACTTTGGGCCAGGATACAATTGGATGATACTTGGACGACTTGGATTGATATAATTCCGATAAACGAACAGCTTGACCCTGCCAAATTTTTGTCGAGGGTTGGAAGATTCGTTTGCAACCCAAGACCTGGCTATGTGAAGGGATGAAAATTCGCTGGCTGATGATATCAAGGGGTTGATAAACATGGCTTTCACTATATGGATGATTTTTAAAATCGTCAAATGGATTGATCCATTGGCGGCCTGATCAAATCATCATCTCCAAGCCCCAAGCGAAACCGGTGCTTTTTGATGGGAAGCAAATGGAACCTATTTAAGTGTGAATCTTGATCAAAATCGGGTATTTAGCCAATAAATCTGTGCAGGTTTTAGAGATATCTAAAACGTAGTTGTTTTGTTTCAGAATGTCTGCAATCAACAGGCGACCACTGACAGAAAATGAGTCAAACAAGCAACAAAGATGGGTCAAAGAACCAAAACTAGTTCAGATATACCCGTCATTAGAAGTGGGAATGATGCCAACCAAGGCCAACCTTCAAACATGAAGACTGTACCTGGAAGCATGTACCCTGCTAAAGATTTCCACCCGGACTCAGACCCCACCTCGCCAAAGATGTTCTTTTCACCGGGAATCACGCCAATATGCGGAATTTTCTCATGCCAGGAGCAGTTCTTGGAGAGAGGCACCCCATCTTTGTCCACATTTTTTCCCTCAGTGCTATGACCTGCTGAGAATCTGCAGTTCAATCCCGCAGGGCAAACACCAAGGGCCTGTGCGGCGCGGACCCAATGGCCCAATGGTCCAATACTAAACCGGGGCGTTGAGAACTTCATATGGGGACGGAGTGCTTCATGTGTGTCGAAGGAAGCTGCCAATCTGTGACATCCATCATCATCCATCTCCACACTGAAAGCAAAACCCATTGGTTTCTGCGAATTTCTTTCCAAAACAGCCATTGGTTTCCATCCATTCACTCTTGACTTATGTGCATTTTCATTAAAAGACAAAGCACCCAAGAGGAAAATGGTTGGACACAAACCCAGCCGCACCAAGTCATGCCTTCAGCACAGGACACTCTTCTGCGATATCAGGGAGCTTAGTCTCCATGAAAGTTTCACGGTCATGATGTTTGGAACACCTGCCAGAAGGTGTTTGCACGTTTTCATGCCAAAAAAAATGACAGATTCAAGAAATGTTCGTACATGCATGTACGTCATGCACTACAGATGTATGTGTAAAAATATTATAGGTATGTAACAGGTATGTGTATATATATATAGAGAGAGAGAGAGGGAGAGACAGGGAGAGATGTATACACACATGTGCCTAGAGTGGGCCGCAAGGGCCGCAATATATATGTATATACTTACGTATGTTTCTTTGTTTACGTATTTAATTCATGTGTTCCTTTATCATCCTTTATCTACTTATTTACTGATTGATTCATTTATTGAATAAATGTTCAGTGATTTATATTCCCTGACCTCTGTCTACCTTGCTCTACCTTGTCATATTCTCTGCGGCCAAGCCAGCTCGCCACACAGCTGACCTGGGCTCCCCATCAGATCCATCACATTCGTTGAGATATGCCAGGCGCGGGCAGAGCTGTTGAGATGCCACCTCTAAGCACAACGGTTCTTTTTCGGACGTTGGAAATTCATCATCACCATCATCATAATTAATCATTACTATTGTTTTTCATTCTTACCACATATGTTTAGATCAACATTTCAGTATCGTTGTCTCTGTCTATGTATGTATCTCTATTTCTGTATGTGTACATATTTGCATATGCAAGATTTATATATATATATATAGTGTATATACATATATATATATATGTATATATACATATATATATGTATACATATAGTATTATATATATATTATTATATATATATATATATATTATTATATATATTATTATATATATTATTGTATATATTATTATATATATGATATTCATATGTATATGTATGTATGTATATATATATATCACACAGCTGCTGCAATCTTTTCCCGCTTGTGGCAAGTTGTCCCAAGCGCTGATACATCAGCGGTGACAATCGAAAAAGAGGTTGCGACACTCCAGGTACCAGTCGTCCAACGCAGCTGCAACTCACACCAGAATATGTAATGCCTGGAAAAAATGGCAACCTCCAAGGGCGAGGAGGGTTATGGGGCCAAAGGAACTGAGCTGTAGGCCACAGCTATGATTCCACCTGACAAGTGATGAGCACATCACATAGCTGCTGCAATCTTTTCCCGCTTGTGGCAAATTGTCCCAAGCGCTGATACATCAGCGGTGACAATAGAAAAAGAGATTGCGACACTCCAGGTACCAGTCGTCCAATGCAGCTGCAACTCACACCAGAATATGTAATGCCTGGAAAAAATGACAACCTCCATCTCTTCATTGCTTTGACTTGTCAACCAAAAAAGAGTGCAACAGCGGCCCAGCAGCATCTGCAAATAGCTTGACTACCGCACGGTCTTCGGGCGGCATTTGAGCTAGGAGTGATTGAGCAGCTACCTCTTGGATGTAATGCTCAACTGTCTTCAATTGGGCCCATCTGCCCCTCCATTGAATCAAGCTAAGGTCCTCACTTTCAAGGTACAACGCTGTTGCACCACTTCCGCGCAACACGGCAGGGGTGGCCCCGCGAGAAGGCATAGAAACTGAAATTCCAAGTCTGCCGAGGATGTGATCCCAACGCCGTCGATAAGCCGACGTGCCACCAGCAAATAAGGACGCATTAGGAGCAAGAGCACCAAACACCTTAGCCACGTAAGCAAGGACGCAGGGATCGTCGATCTTGCAGTGTTGCTTCCTGGCAAAACGAGCCGTCTTAGGGTTCCTGATATGCACATAGAATGCAGCGGTCTCATTCAAAGTGTCACCTGGCAGTAAAAGGTCAGACCTGAGAAGGGACATGAACTCGGCTGGATGTAACATCCCAGGGAAGCCAATTAAGGTGATCCCCAACCATCTGTACCACTTCCAAATCAGGCATAGGCAGCTAACTGCTCGCATGATTGGAGCAGAAAGAACCGGCCTGCAATGGCCCGGTTCGTACTGCTGCCACTTTCTGTCAACCTGCCAGGCAGAACGGCCGCAAATGTGGAAATGTGTCCTGCATGGCTGTAATGGTATATACAAATTTGTACCGAGGAAAACCTCCAGCAAAAAGGTGCAATCCATAAGCTCGCAAGGCGAGCGGACCAGCTGTGTAATCCCATCCAATGCTTTGCAAGGTCAGTGCAAACTCGGCAAATAACCAGTTGGCAAACTCATCCAAACATAGCTGCATGCGCTTGGACGTCGCCGTAGCAAAACCCACATCCATGGACAGCTGGCCTCGAGGGGTCCGAGGCCTTGGTTGAAAACCAGGTCCGGGATTGCGCTCAATATCCCCAGCCAAAAGCAAAAGGAAACGCAACCATCTGGCTGCCAGCTTCGTGCACTTTGCAGACTCCAGGATTCTGTCAAATCGATCAAAACCGCCGGAGCGTAGGTCAGAAAGCCAGGTTGGAATTTTCTTGGTTGGTGCAGGCACAGGACGGTTACGCGACGGTGCGTCGCTTCTGTTCTTACCGGATGCAATGTGAAATCCCCCAGAATAAAGGCACCCGCCCAAAACATAACCTAAGGAACCTTGCAAAACTCTGCAGATAGCCCGGCTACTGGACCTGCCTTTTGAAGTAGCTCCTAGTGTGACACGGGAATCAAGTAAACTTAGGATTCTGCTATTGGGGTGGTATTTAGCACAATGCTTTAGGAGGGTTTTATGAACCCGGCATTCAAGAACATTTATATGGTTTCGTTTCTTGAAACGGTACCTCAGCAACTCTTTAAACGGCAAGGAATCCGCAAGTTCTTCGATCCATTCAGGATCCTCATGAAAAGGTCTGGGATCTGCTGCCGGAAGGTTGGAAAGGTTTCTAGGCAGATCGGGACGAATGCCAATTCTGCGAAAGGACAAAACTTTGGCTGCAATTGGAACAATCGGGGCGGAATCATGACGAGCAGCAATAGCTCCCGATGCAATTCGAGCGCACAGCAGCTTCGGGTACGAGGCTGAGAATGCAGAGACATGTTCGCCAACTTTTGGCCAGCGGCCGTAAACCTCATCCGGAGAGGGGCGGCATCGCGCCGCAAAATCAGCAACTGAAGCATGAGTGAAAGTGCCCTCAATTACAAAATGATCCGCCGAAGAACCGCACCTACAGGATTGTTCAAGTCCAAGCATCCAAGGTTTATTATGTAGCCATTTAGATGGCTTTTTGAAAGGGGAACCATAAGCACAAAAACACAAGTGGGTTATGATGCATCCACGAAACACCATCCGTTGAAACACATCCAGGTAAAACATGACAGACCAGCCAGGCTGTTCTACGCTGAAGAAACCACCAGCCAGCAGCACTAGGTTCATCAGGAAGGCGGTCCTGAGGGCCAGCAGGGTGTGCTCACGTGTCAACCGATCCCACATGTTGAAACCAGCAGGTTGCTGCTTTGATCTTAATGTCGGTTTTCTAAGAGTCCCATATGTTTTACAAGGTGTTCCTGCATGCTAGTCTGAAATGACACCCCACGCAGCCAAGCTGGCTGCTTGATGAAAAGTGCTATCATCCAACAAGTCACCAAACTGCATTCTGCGACCATCCACATCAAAGCCATCGTGAACGCGAAAACCAGCGGCTTCGTGAGCCAATGACCAGTTGCCCTCGCTTCGGAACAACTCAATGCAGTCGAACAGGATGCCTTCCGAAAGTGAACAAGGTATCTTAAGGACAACATCCCGGTCGGAAGGCTGAATGGAAGGGATGGGTTCCTCAAACGATTCACCTAAGGATGATAACACACTGGCAGCTGGAGCAAGCAACTGGGTATAGTAACCCCGCTGTTCACTGTGACGCCACAACTCTTGAACTACTGACTCACTTTCGGGTGACTGGCATATGCCTGCTCCGTCAGGGCTGGCATCCGTGCAAAAAATGAAGGGTGCATAACCAACACACAAATCACTCATGCAAACCGGTCCCAAACAACTGAGAGCCAACAGTTCATTCCGAGTCTCTCTACTCAGGGAGAAAATTTGGTTCTGCGGCCGCTCAATGCCGTCGGTGAAGGCGTGAGAGACCACCGCCAAAACAGCTCTACGAAACATCAGCACATGAATCCAGCAGCCGAGCGAACTCGCAAGAAGCCGGCGGCTGGCTGTTCCTCGTCTGGCGACAAGGACTGTGCACATCATCAAAACTGAAATACGGTGGCGTGGTGCCGAAACAAACCCTATTTTCCCATCAACTTCAGCCCCGAGAAAAACACCCTGAGATACTTCCCGCTGCTTCTTTTTGGGGTGTTGCACAAGCTTAACAGTTTGGTAAGCCCTTTCAGCTCCTAGAAATACAGCAGTATCACGCAGGGGGACCCGGTTACGAAATTGATTCTCGGTTACGACCTGAATGCCAATATGATCGTCAATTGAAAGCCATTCCATGAAATCAGATCTGGGAAAAGGGTGGCGGTAACACACCCGCTCGCTGTCCAGCATGCTGCCGGCTAAGAATCTCAGCACGTTGCAGTGCGCTTGTTGCGCTATCTCAACTGCCCAGCTGTCGCCCATTGCCAGGGCGCTCAACGCAAGGACGCATGGTCCATAGTGCTTTGAAGAGTCAAAACAAGACAAATGTCTCAACTCAGCTGCATCAAACAACTTACCAATGCAGTTCCTTTTTGCTCTGGCTGTTGGAACCCTGACAGTGTAATACATCTCTGCAAGATCATCTGCGGATATCCGAAGCCTACACCCTGGTTTGAGGTGTATGAGAGAAAACATGGACCCTGGCGCAAGTTGTTTTGTGTAATGCGAAAAGGACTGCATCCGGCTATTCACAGTTTGGGGATTGAGGATCAGCCGATCGTACTGATCATCTTTTGGCACTGCAAACAAACCAACGGCTTCATCCCAATTAATTTCATCCAACCGAAAAATACGACAAGCCCCCTTAGTGTCCCATTTGCATGCGAGACCCAAAAGCTCCTGTTTGGAACAATGCACTCTACCCCAAGGTTGTTCAGGCCACAGGTGAGAGGGCAATCTGACTCTAGCGGGGTCAACAAACGCATCTTTGACTATGGGATCAACCAAGTACGGAGTGGGATCAAAATTGGGGCTATGTTCCCATTTAATTCTGCTGGAAATGACAGGCTTCGCAACAGACTTTGGCATACGCGTCTCACCAAGTGAACGCCCTGCATCCGGGGGACTACAAGGGGAAGGACTAGGCGGATTAAGATCACAACTGGAGGCCATATTATGCTGATCCACGGAAGTGGGCTTGGAAGAATATGGATCCAACTTACTTGCAAGGTCAAAAACTAATTCATCGAGGTCCACTTCCTGGTTACCAGGCAATTCCTGACAAGCACGCAGCAAGTTGCTGAATTTTTCACAACTGCGTCCCAAGCTTTGTGACGAGATCGGACCCGCCTGTACAAAGTGGTCAACAAGCCGTTCGAGCCTATTAATCATCGCACACTGCTCTTCAGTTAAGTCAAACCCAGTGCATTCCTGCGGTGGGGGACTAATGGGGTGCCCAAGGGTCTCCCAGTTGAGGGTGGCAACAACCAGCTGGAGCAATGAGTGACGAAGCTTCAAACGTTTCCTAAGCTTGCGCCTTCGGGGCGACAGTCGTGTTGAGCCCGTCCACTCCCAGGTTGGTAAGGGACATGGCCACAAATCGGAGCATGCTGGAGCTCCGTGCACGGTGCGGGAGTGCGGCTGCAGTGAAAGCGTGAAGAATCTACCCAGGCCTACATGCACCGCTTCTGCACTGAAAACAAAACGTTCCAAAAAACTTAAAAAACTTACGGGTGAGTCAGAAGGGCTGAACTGCGGCATTTCTTCATTCAGCTTAGACTGTACATTCGAGGCCTGACAAAAGTGAGATTGGGCTGCTGCAGGGCTGGAGCTCCTAGGCCTATAAACATTCCCCCGGGGGCTATCAACCAATTCAGCAGCTTCACAAAGAGGCGACGAGGAAAATTCAGTCTCTCCTGACTTCAGTTCCGGCATCCTGACGGGGCTGCAGAGTCGCTCGTCTCGTCCTTCGCTTTGCCTCGGCCTTTCTTTGGCTTCCACGGCTTGCGAGGACCTTTTGGAAATTCTTCGTCTGCAGGGTCGTCCTTGGACGGCTTGTCGGCGGACTTGGTGTTCTTCAGTCTGCCCTCCAGATAGTCCAAATCCTTCAGGTAAGCTATGTTGCCTGTGACCCACGGAGCCGAGGCGAGCTTGGCATAGGGGGTCAGCCCTACGCGACGGCGGTTCATAGTGATTGTTTGCAAATTGGGGTCCGGCATGGCAGCTAGGAGCCAGCCGAATTGGCATCGGCCCTGGTCCAAGGCGATCTGCTCCACCATCATCAAACCAAGTGCAAACAAGCCCATTGAGAACTCGTTCTTTGCTTCGCAACTCATCTGCCAAGCCACGGCCATGTACTGAGCCAAGTTGGTCAGCTGTCGTTGATCTCCCAAAGGCATCCGCTTCTCCACGTAGCTTCGCATCAAGCAGCTGTTCACCTGATCGGCCGGGAGGCCCAGATCTACGGCAGCATTGGAAGCTATGGATCTTCCGGTGCCCTTCACATCTTCCATAGTCCGCAGGTAGGCATCCCTGGCAACGCAGCCCTTGAGTCCGCTTCGCGAGCTGCCTCCTTCGCTGCCCAAGGCGGCGGTGACCAGATCTCTGGTTGGCGGCGCCAACTTCTGCATCAACGCCGCGGTTTGCTTCATCTGCATGGAGTGCCAACAGTTGGTGCAGAGGATCCGACGAGGCATTGAGGACCTGAGATACCTCGTCCTCGGCTTCGACCTCCGCCTCCGCATGAGCGAAGGCTTGCTGAGGGGCAGGATTCTCCTCTGCCAACCCCTCTGTGCGGGCAAACCGACCCCGAGGAGGTCCGGCTAAGGAGCGAAGGCGCTCCAAAGTTCCTGGTGGAACTGCCCCAGCGACAGTGCCAGGGGCAAACAGCACTGACCTTCCGGCCACAAGAGGTCATGGCTCCAGGTCTACCACTGGAGCTAGGCCACCAGAGGGCGCCGCTTGCTGCGTCTCCAGTTGGGCAATGCGCGCCTGCAACTGCTGAACAACTTCTGGGCTGACATTGGACTGAACGGGCGAAGCTGCCTCTCCTTCTTCGGCAGTGAAATGCTCCAGCAAAACTTCGTCCGCGGCCAGCTCGCTGATCCAGAATTCTGCCGCTTGGTGAGCTCCTCGCATGGAGGGGCGAGCAATTGAGTTCTGGGCCATCATCCGCAACAAACCGGCAGCGGCGTTGCCGCGCAAGGCCGGAGTGCGCACGAAATGAGCCGCACACTCGGCGGGCATGTCCACCAACACCATCCGTCCTGAACCAAGCCTTCTTCCTCGAGCATCTTCCAGAGGAACATCTACTTCCTTTTGAACCACCAAACTGTCTCCATCGCCATCCACTAACTGCTCCAGAAGAGCGAAGACTTCTTCCAAAGCAGGTAGCAAAACCATGAAACCTGAAACACGACATCGAACTAGGTGAGCCAGGAGACGCACTCCGGCGCCTTCCAAACTTCCTACCAAAACTGTAGTGGGCACTGTGATATTCCCTGAACCTAGAGCGGAGTTCCACTCGCCCCCTGGCAGCTGGCAGTTCGTACCAAATAGCGAAGGCTGAAGTTACACAATGCCAAATCCAGATGCGGCACTTGGAGGACAGCAGGCAAGCTGACACAAGTGCCCCGCAGCAAAAAGGCACCGATAAATATGGCTCCAAGCAAAATGCCAGACAGAGAACAACTAGACTGACTAGGGGGAAACCACCAGCGGAGCTCTCTAATAGCTTCGAGTGCCGAGGCCCAAGGGACCGCACTCATGAGCCAAAGGAACTGAGCTGTAGGCCACAGCTATGATTCCACCTGACAAGTGATGAGCACATATATATATTATTATATTATATTATATTATATTATATTGTATTATATTATATTATATTATATTGTATTATATTATATTATATTATAGTATATTAAATTATATTATATTAGATTAGATTACATTACATTACATTATATTATATTATATTGTATTATATTATATATATATGTATAGTATATATATGTATATTAGATTATATTATATTATATTATATTATATATATGTATATTGTATTATGTATATATGTATATTATATTCTATATAATTATGTAACTGCATATAACTTCATATGTATTTATAATGTTGAATACCCCAATTCAGGGAAGCTGCCTTGGGAACTCATACCGGTTTGCAACCAACAAGCTCAAAACTTAGGGATCTTGGGATTTGCCAACCTGGCTGAGTTTACTCTGCGGATTCCGGAATTTTATCGACATGGACATGGGTCAAAGTCATCAACCCACAAAACAAAAAACACTTCTGGGTCAATCTTTTCGCCGATAACTTGGCCCTCATATTGTTGAGGAATCCCCAGTGACAATTGTGGCCTTTTTCATGGCCGCAACATTCTCTCGCCGCTCCTGGAGAATCGGACAAATTGCTACCATGAGTCATGATTGGTTCTAATCTCGCTTACCAGAAGTTGTCGGTTCTATTTGGTTCCATGACATACTATGAGTTCTATATCCCCAAGTGTTGGGGAAACTCACTCTGAAGCTGCGCAATCTGAACAAAGAATCTGAAGGAACTGCATGTTAAGACCACAGAATTTCGCTTGACGTGACAAATATGATAGCCAGATGCCAAATAAAGAGTTGTCACACCAGGTACCTTACAACGGTGCGTTTCCGATCTGCCATACAACTGCCAACCAAAAATATCCATGATGGTTCCCTGTACCCTTTCTTTTGCCGCAAGAATGGACTCAAAGCATGTCATCTCCGTCCTTGTTCTTGTTCATACCTCTGTTGGGTTTTTGTTTCTTGGAGGGTGGCTCAGAACCAGGCTCCACATCTGCCACTGGTTTTGGCACCAAGAAATCTGGATGGATTGGGGCCTGGCCAGCGGAGGAATGTGACCAAGTACTACCAAGTGAAGATGCAGATTGTGCAACCACCATGACCTACCAAGTGACTCATATTTCTGAAAATGGCTTTGGTTCCAACGGCGAAGGGATTCCCCCATTCCGCTTGAAGTCCATAAGGGACTTTGGCACCTCACAACGTGCTATGGCATCATCAATCCGACGTTTCTTTGCTTCGTCTTTTTCCTGCAGCGAGGTCTCTGATCATCGGTGCTTGAACAAAATAAACCGCACGTTCCTCCGCAAGAGGTGTGTTACCACCTTCCGACATGGCGACAAATTTGGAGAACAAAAGTTTCTGTCGGCACTCGCTGAGTTAATTTATGTTAGCATTAAAAAAAACTTGTTTGCCCATTGACAACGAGGGAAAAAAAACTGGCCATGTGCAAGTCAAATGAATTTGAAGATCTGTTCAAATTGGGTTGCTAGAGTTCAAGATTTTGAACCAACGCATGCGGCAAATGCATGCAAATGCTTGGTGAGCATGATGCATTCAGTTCTACATACTCAAGACCACATTTGGCAAGTAAATCTGATGCCAAACGCAGTCACGATGTTGAACGGTCACGCTTGCCTCATCCCTGTTTCCACTGGACAACAAACTCAATCCCAGGCAATGACTGGCTGATTGGCCATTTGAGTGGTTGACTCACATAGTTTGACAGGACACAATTTGATGCCAATAATATCCAATCATCAAGACGCAATTTTTCTAAGGCGGTGTGCGACTCGCAACTGACACTGGCAGGACCGAAACCGCAACAGCCAGAGACATTTAACGTGTGGGTTGTCAAAGGGTTTCAGCTCACAACGTTCAATCATACGAACATAACACCCACTTGGCACAGTCATGAGGTCCTTGTTTCCAGATTTGCCCCGGAAAATTGAATGGCACTTTGGATTGCAAGTAGAATCAGAACGGAACGCTGTGAACCCATGTGTTTCCATGTGTTTTGGCGCCCTATTCACATTCCATTCAATTTTAAGATCAGAAATGATCGAAACATGTACAACATCCCTTCAACACATGTTACGATCCAATTTACCCCCACAAATCTCTTTCTCCAACTTGATTGAACATGCTACCCGCGCTGCGCATGGTGATGGCCCACCCGCAACATGCTGAATCTCCAGCTCCAAAGCAGCTCAGCGCATCAACTCAAGGGGGGGCAGGAGCGAATGCTTTCGATTGCCTCAGGCGCCGCTGCATCCACAAGTCCCATGCCATGAATTCTGTAGAAAATACCCAGGTGCTCCCAGGTGCTGGAAAGTTCGATTGTTCTAAAATTCCTTGCACTAAGGTGGATAGCACGATAGCACCCTGGACGAAACATGCCACCAAACCACAGGCTCTGATTTGGGGGAGAAGTGTTGGTTTGGGGGATACCGGGATACCCCAATAAAACACACGCTCTTGTAATCAAACATAGCTGGCTGGAAAATCCACAATTTCTAGGTGATGTCCCAGCCAACTATGTTAGATTACCGGAGGGTATCTCATGACTAACAGTTAGAATATGTTTTTGAATGAACAACTATTAACCATGATTAATCATTCATTTATCAATAGTTTAACCATTAAACAGCCCTGATTGGTTGCATTTTTAGCCCTGATTCACATCATCGGACCTCCGATGAGTGAGTTCCCACGACGGCCTGACGGCCTGACAGTCATGAGCATTGTTTGTGACCATGCTGCATGGCTTTCCTGGAGTGTTTCTGGCGATTGGGATGAAACCATACTGAGAAAAGAATATATATATATATATATATTTAAGAAGGGCTGGGAGGGGTGCGCAGCTGGGAACAAAAACATAAAGGCGGTCATGACAAGACATGTCCAAGGCTCTTCAGATTCCATTCACTGAAATTTAAACCACGCAGTTGGAAACAGGCCCATTTAAGATTTCGGCGTTGCTGTCATCCTCATCGGACCCTTCCGGGCACTGGCAGCTCTTTTCAAATCAGATTGGAGATGGATGTATGTACTCACCTACCTTCAGTGAGTCAAAGGCATGTTTCACCAAAACATCTTAAATGTGGTGGAATTGAAAGATCAAGCGCGCAGAGCTTTCCCATGCTTCCTTATGACTGGAAAGTGCCCAACAAAGAAAAGATCGACTGCTCACACGTGTGAAAGCGCTCCTTTGTCAAGTGACGGGTTGGGATAACCAAGCCACTATGTTTTGTAAGCAAGTCTAAAAAAGACCAGGAAAAACTCAAGGATAAAGCCCATTTGTGGATCCGTTCGCGGGTGTCACCACGCTGGGCTTGGCGACTGCGGTGAACCGCAACTTCCCCCTGACGTATATACTCTCTAGCAGCCCGTTCAGAGGACCAACGACCGTATAGAAGTATATCTTGCAGTGGCATCCCCAAACGACACAGTTCCGAAGCTCCAGATCGACGGAAGGTATGGGTGCTAACCACCATATCATCACCTCCTAGCAACCATGACAACTTCTTGACCCATCGCAGAAAAGAGGCATAGGATACAGTGAAAACCAAATCATCCGCCTTTCCAGGAAAACGCTTAAGAAACTGCATGACGAAATGCACCACAGATATGTTCCGCATGACAACCTTTTGTTCCATGCCACGTTTCGTTTCGCCCAAGCATAATGTGACCGAATCAGCCTGCAGGATGATATCGCGGTATCGCAAGGACATAGCTTCGCGAACCCTAAGCAGACCAGCATAGCAGAAGACCATGACACAGGAAACATGGGGTTTGCCCAAAAAAAGAGCCATAGCCATCATCCCATGCAGAAACTCCGGCGTAGCTGCTGGTGCCTGTCTAGTTGGTTGCTGACGCCCCCAAATATCAAATACTCGCCAGGCTGTTTTCAGCCTCAGCCTAGGATGCACCTTCTGCACCGCTGACAATGCCCAACCGTACGCAGCTTTGCTAGCCCCTGCCTCGCACCCATCAATCAACCATTCTGCTATAAAACTGTCTTGTTGTTCCTCGCTCATATCCTGCCACTGATAGCCATGAGCTCTCAACTCACTGTTGAGGTCTTCGAGGGCAGCTGTGTATTTCTGAATGGTTGATGGTTTCAAGGACTGAAGCAAGAAAACTTGGATTCGGTTCGGGCCACTGCCAGCCCACATCTACGCCAGCCCCCCACGGGTCTGTGCCAGCCGCAGCAGACTTCCTAGGTGCAAATGGCATCACATAGTGCCTGGAGTGAGCCAAAACTAAACGCAACACAAAGCTTTCTGCCAGACGATGAGAGAAACCGAGAGGGTATTTGGCTGTGAGTGTGGCCCGAAATTTTCCATGCAAATCAAAACCTAGGTGCAACCGGTGTGGTTCTTTCTGGTCGCACACGCTGCTGATAGAAGAACATGCACATGGAATCAGTAAGCCGGTCGGTTTTCTACTAAGCTGATCCACCACTTGGTACTTGAGCTTGAACTTTCGCATGAAATATTTTACCTCCTCAGTGCAGAAGAAGGACGGGTAAGGGTCCCGACCCCGGTCAGCGGGGTGCGCAAGGCCAACCCAGCCACCGCCAATAGCTATCTCACCCAAGAGTCCCACCGTGATGAGAAACAGCGCGCTGCCCACATTGACAGCAGCTTGTTCTTGTTTACCACAATAGCTTAGTGGAACCCAAGGACTGCTTCTAGCCCGCAGCGGCCGTGGAGCCTTTCGCCCCGGCCTGTTCAACGGCTGATGTCTAGCCGCTGAGATAGTACCGCAAGGGGGAGATCCAAATCCGCCAACCACACGTTTGTGGTGAATAAAATTGAGGATCCAACCACCAAATTGTTGATTCAACAAATCACTTGCAACCTCACATGAGCCCCCTTCAATCGCTGAACTGCAAAACGATGCCAATGGGTCTACGGCCAAGCCCTGAATATCAAAACCATGCTCTCGTCCAACCCTTTCCACAGCATCTAACAAATCATCTGAACGACGGGGACCACTGCAAAAATGAATGAAAAACCATTGGTGGGATGGCCACAACCCCAACTCCGCGATCTCAATGATCGGCTCAGCGGAAGCCAGCTCAGAGCTCTCAGCCTTCCGCGGTGAAGACTCAAACCTGCGCGAGGGCTCATCAGCAGGGTTGTCACCACTGGGCAACCATGGGTAAAAAACCTCGTGGCCACCTGCAATGTTAATACTGGCAATACGGCGACACCGCAAATTGAGCAGATGAGAACTGGACCTCCCCTTTGTGAATGCCCCCGTGCAAGCAGCTGAATCTAAACCATGTACAAAACGCCCTCCGTCATCCAGTGGGCGCCTGAGACGATCTTCTGCTGTCCAGCAAGCCGCATCACCTTCACCTAAGGTGATGTGAGAGCATTGCCATGGGATACCAATCTTGGTCCACTTGATGCGCTCATTAGGGATTCGCACTTTTCGCATTGGACATTGGTGAGGCTGTTTCAAACCAATACCCCATGGAAGTGACAAATTGGTGTAGATCTTATGATGGTCTGTATATCTGGCCAGGGTCCGCACCACCACCTCTGGGACAATGCCAAAGGCCCGGCCAATACCTGTCATGGAGGCATCTGAGCACTCAATACGAGTAGACCACGTGCTGGAGAGATCAAATTGTGCAAATGGAAGCAACAATGCCGATGACAGAAGCTCTAACCATACATCATCAGGTAGTTCAACCATTGCACGTTTCTTACCCCTAACTGACGTGATCCACAAATAAGTGCGTTCGAAAATTGATCTCAAGCAAGGACGACCAGAATGAACAAAACTATGTTTCCCTATCAGCCGGTCAATCACTGCTACCACCACTGTACGCCGTAGCAAAATGTTGATGGTTGCCTGAAACAAATGCCTCCTCTTATCCATAGATACTCCAACCCAATGATCATGTGGATGCACAAAGTAACCCTGAATCTCTTCGCCTTCTGCAGCATTCACTGACTTCTTGGAGTTCGGCTCAACGCCGCGCAAACACCAGCTGTCCTCCGCACGTTGCAGCCACGAGGGCCCAATCGGTTGACAACCAGCGGTTTCCTTGTGATCCAAAGCCCAAATATCATCAATAATTGAACCCCAAATTGGTAACTCACCTGGAACCACAACGTCAGGGTGAAGGCGCTGATCTTGGGGAAGCTGCGCATCTATAGCTACTACATCAGTCAGACCCTGAGCCCACCCAGCCGATGGCCCAAATCCCATGGGGGTAGATTGACATGCGGGAAACATACTGCGAACTCCTCCACGCCGCGATGGAAGGTGTACAGCTGGCCCACACAGCCAACGGGCCCATCTGCGACCTATTCGTAGCCGGCGAAAATAATGCCTCGCATCCCTCTTTGATACTACTACAGTGCCAGTCTTGGGAACAGTCACCCCCCTCAAAGAAGGAATGAAAGCAAACCTTGGACGAGGCAAAAGCTCGGGGTCCAACAACTGATTAACCTGTGGATCTGTTATAACCCTGTCTTCCTTGTCATCCTTCATAACCGCAAACGCACCAGCCAAGACCAGTTTGCCCCGATGCTGTGCAACTTGATGGGGATGTTTGAGTTTATGAAGACCTGCCTTGACATTCTTGCGAACTAGCTCGGGGTAGGAAGGTGCCAACCATGTATAGCCACGTTTGACCAACTTGGGGCGTTTTCGGGATGCAAACAACAATCTAGTCGGATTACGAATCTGTTGGCTCATCTCCGGAAAATGAGGTTCCAAATGATCCGCCAAAAGAACATCGGCGGCCCGGTCCGGTACCCCGCCTCGCACACCCAAAGCTAAAACAACTCCACTGCCATTGTAGAGCTGTGAATGCCGCAAATAAGCGTCAACTCCCTGAGAGCTGAGAACAGGCTCGTCGGTCAGCACCTGAGCCTGGAGAATGCTGGCTATTCTGCCATGCACTCTCTTGTGAGCTGCGCTAAGGACTTCATCATGATGCCCCTCACGCCCTCCATGCAACCAATTCAGCACGGACACAATGAGATTCCCACCATAGTAAAGGCACTGCCGTGCCACGTCATTCCCACAATCAGCCAGAGACAGAAGCTGCCCCTTCATGCTCATGGGTGGCAACGGGAAAACATGCGCCGGCGACTCTGCAGCGAGAACCTTCTTCGAAATTCCCTCTGTCTTAAATTCCGCCATGCACCAAGGCTTCCCAAGAATTCTAAAGGTTCTGCGCACCTGAGCTGGCAATCCACCATCGCTTCCAGGCCAGTTCAGAGCCGCAACAAGTGCCTGCCCAACCTTGGCATAAAAAGCATCATAACCAAATGACCCAACTGATGCACCACCCAAAGCAAACCAGGAGCGCCTAAACCTCCTTCTCATTGGTTTGTCAAAGCCAGCATGCTCGTGCTGGCCAATGCCTTTCTGTTGTCCACCAATTCGATGGCTTCTGCTCTTTCCCATGTGCCTCCTTTCTGCTTTGCTGCTTGTATGGCCAGAATGCGCTGGCAGAGGACGTCCAACGCCTGCGCAATCTCCTTGCGATTGACCATGTCCAGTATCTCTGCCAAAGTCGCCACCTCCTTCATGTCTCGAATCTCTGTGAGGCCCGAGAATTGATGAGCCCAGGATGTGACTGACACTTGTCGCAACTGGGAAGACCTTGTCAGGGATCCTTTGGAAAGCCTTGTGAACACACTCGCCAGAAAATGGGCAGTCAGGGCTCCAGGGTGACGAGCTGCAAAGGCTACTAAATCCCCTCGCTTCTTCAGTTTCAACTGATCCACGTGAGTCAGGCTGGACAAAGGGACCTTGCGGTCCTTGCCATCCTCCCTCAATCGGAGAGGCCTCTTCTTGCCCCCTGAGGATCCACTGCTCGCGCTTGCACTTCGGGAACGGCTGGATGAGCTCGAAGAGCTTGAGGACCGGGACTTCTTCTTCTTGGAACGTTTCTTCTTCTTTTTCTTTTCCTTGTCTTTCTTCTGGGATCGGCCCCGGCCATGGCGAGCAGAGCTTGGGCTGAGGGCCATGGCTTGGAGTTGCGTTACCGCATCTTCTAATGCTTTCAAGTCTGGGAGCTGGGTCTGGCCCCCTAGTGGCGCGCCAACACCCAGCGCGGGAGCCCCTCCTGGCCCCCCACCCAAAGCACCGCCTCCTGCTCCGCCGGGACCGATTGGGCCAGGAAGCTGCATAGCCATAGGTTGGAGATCGCCTGAAACCCCAGGCTGATTGACAATCCACTGGCCCGGGTTCATACGGTATTGAGTTAGGATCATGTTGCCCTCCACAGTGCGGTTGGCCATTTCGGGAGCACCAGGACGCCAAGGCTGTGCCCCCGCTGGTGGAATGCAAATCCAATTCACATGGTTCTCGTCTACCCCAGGGGGAGCACGGTGGGATCCATCCGCCGCCACATGGACCAACCGCAAGTGGAGACCATTCATATGAACCAACACCCAAGCCCAATCCGTCCCATCTGTGACAGTTGTACGGCATAATGCTATGGTTTGGTCTTCTGAGAAGCCTATGACCAGCACCTCGTCCCATTCAGGGGGTCTACTCACCAACACAAATGTGCCAAGTGGCAAAGGAGCTGCCCCTGCCACCACTGCCATCACCTGCCAGGTAAAGACGCCTTCCTGTTCTGTTGCAGTGCAAGGCCCTGGTGGCTGTCTTCCACCAAGCCGAGATGTGAGAACCTGCTGCCAGCAACGAGTGAATGCCTCCAAGCTGGAGCCCACTAAACACAGCAACCAATAGAGAATCCCCAGAATAGCTTGTACCACCCAGATTACCTCACGCCACGAATGCCAAAGTATGAATGCGCCTCCCAATGTCCACACTGACTGATACCAGTGCTGCCCGGGTAGGAGCTCTTCCAACACCAATGGCCACAAAGGTCTGCTCAAATGAATCAGGGTGTTTGCAGCTAACCTGGGGCCCTCCGCCTGCAACCAACTCCAGCCAAGTAGTGAAACTCCAGCTATAGCCCCACAGGGTAGAACAGCACGGTCCATGGAAGGAGATCTTGAACAAAAACATAAAGGCGGTCATGACAAGACATGTCCAAGGCTCTTCAGATTCCATTCACTGAAATTTAAACCACGCAGTTGGAAACAGGCCCATATATATGTAATTATATAGATATCTTATTATTAGTAAAAATACCTAGATAAACAGAAGAACTTTAATCAACCAACTACTCAAGTGCTTGGCAGGGGCCATAGGGAGCCAGCGGAGTTGAAATACACGGTTTTGGAGGTCAGATCGCCATGATTAATCATGGTGTAATAATGGTGGATACGAATACTAACCAACAATATTCATGGTTGCAAATAATAAATAACAGGCAACAATAGAGGATTACACAGGATTACAATAGTTGGGTTAGTCAGTGATTGATGTTTAGTGAGGGTAGAATAGGCGAAATAGCCAAGAATATCCCAGTGATTATTTTTGACGGCCTCTCTTTTAAAAGATCAGCATGATAACTGTAGGCCCTGTAGGCAGCACGTTGGGTACAACCACCATGGCGATCACGGATGAATCTTTTCACTCGCCGAGCCGCCCGCAAGCTGTGAACCTGGGCACCCTTTGCGACACAGCCAAGGCTGCCAATGCATGAATCGATTAAAAGCACGTGCATTTAAGTTTGCACATTGGGAAACTCACAGCACCGCAAAGCCGGAAACCCGACTAGGACGGGTTTGCTCCGTAGCATTTTCCGTGGACAATGGCAGGACCAGACTCATCATACTCGCTCTGCGAGATCCACATCTCCTCAAAAGAAGTCAGGGAGCACATGACGGAACCACCGAGCCAGGCAGTGTACTTACGCTCCGGGGGAGCAATCACCTTGATGTCCATGTCAGGTGCCAAAGCAGCCAGCTCCTTGCTCATGCGCTTGTCAATGCCCGGGAACATGCTGCTGCCACCAGAAAGTACCACATTTGCAAACAAATCCCTCTGGATTTCCACATCACACTTCATAATGGATTGGAAGGTAGTGTCATGAATGCCGCTGCCCTCCTTGCCCATCAGCTTTGGTTGGAACAAGGCTTCTGGACAGCGAAAACGCTGGGTACCCACGGTGATGGTGTCTCCGTCCTCCAATTCATAGTGGTTCTCAAGCTCCCTGACTTCAGATGCAGTGTCCATCTCCTTGCCAAAATTCAAGGCGATGTAACAAAGTTTCTCCTGACTACCGTGGCCAGGTTGTGAAAGGAAAACCATTGATCAACAATCAATCAACGGTGATCAAGTTGCACAACTACCACCCTTCAAAAAAAAAACATTCCCCAAATGAGTCGTAACTTGTTCGCTACTCAGCTCCTTGAGGTCCCCCACCATCTCGCGATCAGGGCTGGTGCCATAGGAGTAACCGCGCTCAGTCAGGAGCTTCATCATGTACTCCGTGAGCTGGCGACCTCCCAAGGCCAAAGCCAGAATGGCATGTGGCACAGGATAGCCCTCGTAAACGGGCACAGCTTCACTCACCGTTTCGCCACTGTTCATCACCAATCCGGTAAGCCGGCCAGATGCATACAAAACCAAACAAGCCTGGCTTATGACATAGATGGCTGGCACATTGAAGGTCTCAAACATGATTTGGGTCATCTTCTCGCGGTTAGCCCTTGGGTTCAAAGCTGCTTCGGTCAGTAAGACTGGATGTTCTTCTGGAGCCACTCGAAGCTCATTGTAGAAGATGTGATGCCAAATTTTCTCCTTTTTGGTGACGGTTGCCCGAAAAATATGCAGGGCACTGTTGCAACAAACATGTTCGGTGCAACCCTGACGTTGCTCCGCGCTAGAATTGCGGAAGGGTTGTGTATTTTTGAAATGCCATGTCGGTGGACTTTCAAAATGTAGATGTATATGTGATCCATAATGATCATCATCATCATCATCATCATCCTCATCCTCATCCTCATCATCATCATCATCATCATCATCATCATCATCATCCTCATCCTCATCCTCATCCTCATCATCATCATCATCATCATCATCCTTATCATCATCATCATTATCATCATCTTCATCATCATCCCTTATGAAGATAAGTTGATGCTATTATCAGTTTCAGCATATTTGCCACGGGGGTTGAGGATTGTTTGATCCCTTATGAAGATATGTTGATGCTATTTTCAGATTCAGCATATTTGTCAAAGGGTGTGGTGGATTTTTTGATCCCTTATGAAGATAAGTTGACATTATTCCTTATTCAACATATTTGCCAGAGGGGGTGGTGGATTTATGATCCCTTATGAAGATAAGTTGATGTGATTACACCATTCAACATATTTGTCATAGGGGGTGGCAGATTTAGATCATAAGACATATAAGTTGATGGTATTACCCCATTCCACATGAGTTGACACTGGTGGTGATGATGATAATAATAATAATAATGATAATGATAATGATGATGATGATGGTGGTGATGATGATGATTGAAAGTGTGGAGCAACGTCCGGGTTGGACGGAACATGTTTTATCTGGTTGATCAACATAAATATGACTGAAACCAGCCCTAGTCTCCATTTCATCCCAATTGGTGACGATGCCATCGTGGATGGGGTAGTGCAATTTCAGCGCGCGGCTTTTTTTCTGTGCTTCATTTCCAATATAGCCTGGTTGGCTGGTGCATCTCCCTATCCAACTGTAACTGGAATGGTCCATGATTGCTAATGGTAGAGAAAACTGGGATGTACCGTGATATGATTGAGCTGTTGCTGGTTTCAAACAGCAACCATCCAACAGTTGTCTGGGTGATCAACATCATCAACTTGAGGACTGGTGGAAAGGTACGAAAGCTGCCTGGCAGGGTTAGGGCGGAGATGAATAGAAGCTATCACTAGGTTGATGCTGACTCACTATGAAGTTGCCAGTTTTCAGAAAGCATTCACCATTGCGGGCCAAACTACCCCAACATGTCTCGGGTTGAACCCCTCAGCTCAAAAGAGCTAGTTTTCGTCATAAGGCTGAAATCACGACCTAGTAGCTGTCCTTGTCCATGTCCACGATTCCAGGTTTTGGCCACCCAACGATGGATGGGAAAACCGCTCGTGGACAATCGTCACCCGCAAAGCCGGCCTTGCACATTCCACTGCCATTGTCCACCACAATTGCTACAACGTCATCATCCATGGCTGCAAGACTGGGATGAGGCTGCAAGAGTGGGATAATCAAATCAAACGCATTTGTTCTCGTTTTTGAGTTGGGCACATGTGCCAACCAACTCTCTGAGAGGCAGTCGGGCGGGTAAGGCTGATCCACTCTAAAGTTTGCCATGATGAACTATTAACAATTACATAACCATTAGTTAAATAAGTTATATAGCCATTCATCAACCAAAGAAACACAGATCCGCACGAATGAAGTGTTGTTGGCACAAGAACTATCACAGACGAATCACTAAACAAGAGAACATCACTCCAGCGCCATCCCGAAAAATTCCCATCAACCGCCCTTCGTGTTAAATAAGTATTAGTGATTAACCATGTTTGCGCACTCTGTGCAGCATCTCACTTTCACCTGCTGGTCCCCCACAATGCTTGGATACTCTCAACATCCCTCAACTAGCATCAGAAACAAAAACTGGATAAAGTCATCATAAAGTGCAAATCGTTTTCAGCAGGCCAAAAGGCGTGGTGTTGATGCATTTTTCATGTTACATTTGGTCGCTTGGATGAAACAGACTGTAAACAGCTGTAGTAAAGTTTCCAACTTTTTTGGGGGGGGGCTACACTACACCCTTGGTGCCACCTTGTAACTGCAGAATCACATCAGTGTCACGATGAAAAATTCCGTTGCCCCACCTGCATCAGCAGATCAGTAAATCCCAACCGGACATCACTTCGAGGTCTCGCAGCTACCATCTGAAGACATACAACTGTAGCAGGGAAACCTCCTCCGTATGTCATGACCCAAAAAAATGGTACGGTTGAAAAAATTGAAAATCACAACTTGCAAAAACAACGCTGAAAATGCACACTACGTTTTAGTTCACGCAATGGTTTCCGTTGCTTCAGTTTCCCAAATGTTACGATCCTACAATTAAACATTCAACACCGAAGGCTGCCGCAAGAGTGCATGTTTTTTTTAAAGCGTGGTGCAAAGACCAGGTCAAACCCTGTCATACTACAATGAACCAGCGGGTCCCTTTTGCACAGAAAGACCTAGAGAGATGTACCCCAAACCAAACCGATCAAACAACCCAGAAGGCGGGGTATATTAAGATCGATATAAAGAGGTGGGGAGTTCCCAAAGCGCCAAACTTTATCGAAAATCAACCAGCCGGAGTATGAACTCCCCAAAACTAATCGATTGACGCACCCAGTCAGCGGACTGCAACAACCTTTTTGGTCACGCGGTTGAATGTTAAATTGAGGTGGCCACTTTCAACCTCTCTGGGTCACTTGATTAAGTTACACGCTAAGACGCCAAGTGTAGAAGTCATCCTTCCAAGTTACAAATCGAAACAAGTTCGAAAAAGAAACATAAAAACCCTAAACAAAAAAACAACATGTGCACATGCGGAAAATGACAGCACTGTTGGATTCAGAATGCAAACACTCGCTCATCCTTTTTTGACACAGCGTGGGGAGAATCTCAAACTGTTCCATGCTGGATTTCTCATCCACCGTGACGACCTTTCGCCACATCTTCCACATTTCGTTTTCATTTGCAAACATCAAACGACCTGCATCGGTCACATGGCCAAAGTGGCTAATTGCAAAAAAAACATATCCAGCAGCTTCCACAGGCATGTCACCCGCACTCTGTCACTTGTATTCCGTCAGGTCGATGTCCAGGGATCAGCAAGTGTGACAGTGTCGGGTAATGCAAAGGGCGCGATGACGACAGTAGGGGCGGTATCGGGGCCCCCTGTGTCAGGTGCAGCATGAGCAGCAGCTGTAGCGTCTGGCCGTAGCTGCAAAATTTGGTAAATGCTTTGGAAAAGTAACATAGCGTCGTCCAAAGTGCAGCCATTTCTTTGTGAAGGTTCTTATCGTACTTCTCATGGAACCAGTCTGTGTGTTCAGCAAGGCTTTGGATAGCCAAGGGTATGAGCGGTGCCCACTGCTGGAACCGGTCGTCCATAATAGAGGACAGTGGAAGGTTCTCCCTTGGCAAAGCGAGCTGAGAACTGGTCTGAACTGGCTGCTCAGGAAAAAGGAGGGCCTCCATCAAAATCAACGAATGGGTCAGTCCGCTCCATAATTGGAACAGGGAATCGAGGAAGCGAGGCCTTCCAAGAAATTGCAGCACGGCTGCGCATGCTGCAACAATTTGCTCGAATTGTCGCACGCGGCTTGCAGTGTCATCACCGAGTTGTTGTTGAAGAAAGGCGACTCCAACCGTAGCCATAACTGTGAAGTTGACGATTTTTGGCGTCTGCATCAAAACCCAACGTATGCAAAGGGCGGGAATCGAAGATTGGGTGGGACAAAAACCCACTTGGAACCAAACGTCACTTGTGAAAAAAGAGTGAATGACAGATCGACCACTGAACAGAATAAACAGACATCACTGGAATCGTTTCACGTTTGTTTGGATACAAGAGACATCACAAAAACATGTTGCGTTCAAATTGTGGTACATCCCATGATCCCATGAGGTTGGAACATCTCCAACATTTAATTTCAAACACATGAAATAAACAAGAAAATAAAACGCAGAGTTCGATCATCCGAACGCGCTTGCACACATGGAACAAGAGACATGAACGGGTCGCTTAAGATAGATTTAAAACCAACTACAGGTGCACGAAGGTTCAAAAAACATCGAAGGGTTTTCACTGGGCATGTAATACCCAGGTATATGAGATTTGGTACACGTGTGTTTTTCAAGGCGGTGTAATTTTTCTTGGCTCAAAAATTTTCATAAAATTTTTGCACGCTGTTTAACTTAAGGCGCTATCAGTTCCTGACAGTTTGCTTAAGTTACACCCTAAGACGCCAAGTGTAGAAGTCATCCTTCCAAGTTACAAATCGAAACAAGTTCGAAAAAGAAAACATAAAAACCCTAAACAAAAAAAACAACATGTGCACATGCGGAAAATGACAGCGCTGTTGGATTCAGAATGCAAACACTCGCTCATCCTTTTTTGACACAGCGTGGGGAGAATCTCAAACTGTTCCATGCTGGATTTCTCATCCACCGTGACGACCTTTCGCCACATCTTCCACATTTCATTTTCATTTGCAAACATCAAACGACCTGCATCGGTCACATGGCCAAAGTGGCTAATTGCAAAGAAAACATATCCAGCAGCTTCCACAGGCATGTCACCCGCACTCCCCACTTTAACCGTTGTGCTCAAGATTTCCTATCAGCTTATTTAGGTGAGGCCTCACCAAATCAGCTGAGAGGAACTTAACAAGGATACCTTGGGAGGAATTCCTAGAAGGGGCATCAGCTATATTACTAGAGGAAGGAACCCTTGCATGCCAAGCTGTTAGGCAGGCAGCATCCTCCTGTTTGAGCAGGGCAGAGACTAGCGCTGACCCTGGCCAAGTCCTCGCGCTGCCACTGATCGCCACGTCCCTGGCACCATTGTTGTCAACATACATGACACAAGGGCGATTTCGGAGCATCTTCCTCCAGAGTTTCACACAAAGCACCAACGCAAGTAGTTCCGCTTCAAAGATGACTGTGGATTTCAAGGGGTACCCAAGAGTTTTTAGGTCAGACCCAGTCAGAGAGATGGAGATTGCTGCCAACTGTCTACCCGTCTCATCGCAAAGTACACCACCGAGGCCGCAAGGCCAGTGGGACCCATCAGGGTTGAAACTTGCATCCGTGAACAAAAGCATTGGCTTGTCCCAGGTGGCTGTTATTTCCCTGGGTCTTGCGGCAACAAGGCTATCTACAAACGCTTGCAAACAGGCAATGGCATGATCCGTCAACGACTCGCCTCTGTCACTGTAAGCATGGGCAGTGATAGCGGATAGGCAGAGTTTTGCGGATCTGCCCCATATTTGACTCTTAGCAAACTGCACCCTACCTCTCAGCCCTAGCGCGCTCTTAGGGCCCAACTTCCCGGTTTTCATTGCTTGCTCTATCGTGGTCTTTAGCTCATCAATTCTTTTCCTAGTGTTGCGGAAGAGGACCAGGCCGGACCTCCATTGTGAGCAATCAATTTCGACCCCTAGCGCTTTGAAGGTGCTAGCAAAGGGGAGGTTTTTGTCACCCTCCGAGACCAGCCAACCTAACAAGCGGAAAAACTGCTTTGTCGCAATCTCCATGGTGGGCACTTCGCTCTTTCTGCAGAGGGTTATGAAGTCGTCGAAGAAGCTACTCCAAGGGAACTTAAGAGAAACACAACCAAGCCACCACAGGGAGTGAGCTACTCTAAGGAATGAATACACAGACCTACTGGCACCAAAAGGCAACGCCCTCATGGAGTATATTTTTGCAGATTTTGTGGAGGGGTCGTAGACAGCAATGTATGAAACCCATCGGGAGCGTGGGGAAACACCAAGCTGACGGTAGGCTGAAGACAGGTCGATGGTCTTGCCCATCCATTCAGTGTCCCCATGCTGACGAAGCAACTCCATGCACAAAGCGGCTACGATGTCAAGAGTGTGAAGCTTCGGGGCGTTCTCAACTTGGACCGTTTGGTTCACATTGGACGCCGTAAAGTCATCGATCAAGCGGATCTTGACCACCTCGCCTGAAGATTGGCGTATCCCCAAACGCCTGCTAACAACAGCGCTCTGTTCAAGAGTGCTCACGTCGATAGGGCCCTCCAGCCAGCCACATGCAACTTCATCCTGCGTTTTGTTGAAGACCTCAGGTCGATCTCATCATCACCCGATGATCGCACTGATGCAAGCAAGGCTACACGCGACGCCCTAGCCGAGGACGCCAACTCATCTTCGGTGATCTTGGCTGGTTTGAAACCTGGTTCAAGAATGGCACGTCAGGTGCCGCTCCGGACAAAGTTATGCCTGAGATTACCTCATCAAACACTGCCACATCAGGATATTGGTAGTACTCAAGCATCTCTTTCCACAACAGCAAACGTTTTGGTGCAAGAATGCCCTTCAATGAAGGGTGCAGAGACTCATGCAATGTCCTTTCTTCGTCACGCAATTCTCGACCACGGTTTAGCCATAAATTCAAGGTGTCTGACCTGTGTCTGGCTACTTCTTTAGGGGACTTCAAGGACAAAAAGTTCAAGACATTCTTCAAGGCACAAGGTAACCTAGTCTCGCTTCCTGCAGGGTGCCCAGCCCAAGAAGCTGCGGAAATGAACTGGTCACACGACCTATAAATCCCAAAGTGTAGCTTGTTCGAGACTTTCTCAACGCAGGCATTGGGTGAATTCACAGGGTTTACCTGGGCGAGACTATGGGATTGGTTACCAGTATTAAGGGTATGGGGTTGGTTATTACCGTCACCTGAATTACCCCCATTACCATTACATGAATTTCCCCCATTTAACCGGAGTGGAGGTTTCTTGAGGAGACATGAGCCGGCTGGGATATTGAACCAGGACGATTGTAACTTGTCCCCAGGTTGGATGGGTACTGCACAGTCAGCTGGCACTTGCACGCTGACGCTTGTGTGAAATTCGGACACCAATGGTGCAATTTTACTGGCTTTTGGCTGCACACCTACTACCGAGCGTAGATACTGATAAGACACGTCATCAGGGGGGCAAAAGGCAACTGGTGGTGGCTGCCAGCCCCTTAAAATGAGTTCTTGGGCCAAGGAATATGCAATGCGATACGCAAGTGGCAAGGGATATGCAGTTTCTTTGGCAGTGGAAAATTTCCGGCCGGCTGGTCCATGAACAACACCCCATGGCTTGTGTTTATGTGAGGCACTGATCCCAGGGCAAACTTGGTTGAGGTGAAGCAAAGTAGAGGTGTTGTGTGCAAGTGCTGTCCATTTTGGTCGGCTGGACCCATAGGCGCAAGCTTGGTGTGCCGTGAATTGCAAACGGCTGGCCAACAGTTGGAAGAAAGTGGTCTTCCAATACAATGACAATCTTGGATTTTCAATGCAAACAAGCTTACCGTTATCAAGGCAAAATTCCGCAGCTGCAGTAATGAAATGATATATGGCATTGGCTTGTGACACACGGAGACGATTGATGTATGACATCTTGGAAACACCATTGGGCTGCACATCCGTTCGCAAAGGCTGGGGGCCAGCAATGAGAAAACCATTGGGAAGCTTAATGGGGATACCTCTAGCTCTGCTACAAGTCCCGCAAGGAGGAGCTGCGAACATACCAACGCAATTTGGGGACTTAAGCCAAGTCCAGCAAAGGTCTCGACCAGCTTTGGTTGTGAGATCGGCGATGAGCACACGCCCAGCATTCTTCTGCTTGATGTGGTCGACGCCAAATGAAGCAGATAGACCTAACTGTTGGAGGCATGCTGTGACTCGTGCGGAGCCAGCACAAAGCTCAATGATGAATGGGTCTTTGGCATTAAGGCTTTGATCGGTGCCTGAGTTTATGTTCGTGGTCTCAGGCTCATGGTGATCAGAGAAATCAGGCTTATTGGAACAATTATTGTCAACTTGTGCAGAATTATGTTGCAAAAGGGGGCTGTAGTGAAACGGACTTGCATCAGCTCGGTCAAACACAGGGTCTGTACATGAGGAAAATTTGTGTTTGCGAGATGTTTCATGGCAAGGGAGTCAATGCTTCTTATGGTCGGCCATCGAATGCGGCCCATAGCAAATGCAGCATAAATGGTACCCCTTTTTGCAACGGGAGCCCTCAGCCACAGATTCGCGACAACGCTTGAAAGCAAAGTCAAAACAGATTGGTGCACCATCAGGAGTGGTTGCGGTACCTCCTGCCTCTCTGATTTCTTTCGGAATTCTCTGATCCGATTTCTTGCCTTTGCCCTTACCCTTTGATGGTATATGGTTTAGGTCGGAAGCCCCCCTTCTTGCCTCCTTTGGCAGCTCCATAGGATGGGTGGCTCTTGGGTGCAGCATGTGAATCACTTGCAGCACTTGATGATTTCGGTTGAGCCTTTGACACCAAAGGAAGAAGGGCAAAACTCACTTCGTATGTTTTCAATGATGCCTCCAGCTCAGTGTCCATTGCCAAAGCTCCTGCAAGGTCTGGTCGTGGCTTCACATTCCGTTCAATCAATGAGGTCCAAGCTGCTTTGTCTGCAGAGATGAGCTGGGAAACACTGCACCGATTGTAGCCTGTGGGCGGCTCTCGATTCAAGTGTGAAAATAGAAGTTGCACATATTTGTCGTGTCGTGTATACGACATCACACCTGCAAAGTCAAGAGCAAGTCCACGTCGCTTCAAAGCTTCCAAAAGTTGATACGAGGACTGCACATTGGTTTCGATTTCTGCATCCTTGTCTTTCACTATGATCTTTGAT